CAGCAACCACATGGTGGCTCACAACCATCTGTAATGAGGTCTGGCGCCCTCTTCTGGCCTGCAGACATATACACAGACAGAATATTGTATACATAATAAATGAATAAATAAATATTTTTAAAAAAAGTTCTATAGTAATGGGCTCAGCTATTTTCAATCAATCTTGTATCAGAATTGTATCAAGAGAGAACCACCAGATATACAGAGTGGGGAGTTTATTATAGGATCAGCTCTTATACAGCTTGGAAACTGGTGAAGTTCATGAAGAGCTGGAGTTTTTTTCCCCCTTGTTTTGAAGTTGCGATAGGCCAGCTTGGCTAGCATCTGGAAATGGAATAGGAAACCAGTCCCTTCCAGGGAATCAAAATGGACTCAGATTAGGGAATGCAGCTGGAGATCAGAGTAAAGAGAACTAGTTAGATGTGTTTGGACACAAGAGTGTCCTTTGTAGTTATCTGGTCTAGGAGTCGCCAGTGTATGTTAAATAATGATGAACAGTCAGGACAGATGATTTCTTGAATCCTTCGGGTGTTTGGACCAAGAGGAGCTACACTAGAAGAGACCCTGCTGAAGCAGCCTTACTTATGCCTGAATGAGACTTTGATGATGAGATCATTCACTATTAGCCAGAATCTGATGTTTTAATAGCACCAGACTTTCAGAGGAGGGGAAAAACCATTCTGAAATGTTCACATAACATAACTATGTTATGTTACACAGAAGGGGATGTATACCTGATCATTCTCATAGCTCATCTCTCACAGGCAGGCCTTGAAGACCTCATCTCTTCCTATAGTGGAGTAATTCTATTGGATGTATGTACTGTATTTTTCTCATAAGTCTCTCCACTTTTTAGGCAGCCATAGAAGTTCTCAAAATTAAGACAGCACGCAAAGTATTTCAGCCTGCAAACTACAAGCCAATCTGGGTCCAAATGTCCTATCTACCCAGAGAAGTAGGTGACACTGTATACTTGCCACCAGAGGGAGCAGGGAGCCTCCAATGCACCCAGCTCCCTTCTGTCACTAAATTTACTCCTCACCCTTTCAGTGGCTCCTTCTGGAAAACACCGTTGGTACAATCAAATTATCATCTAATTCCTATTATTTTTACCTAAATAAAAGATAATAGAATACTTCTTATTTGGAAATAGCACAACATTGCAAAAGGAATATGCATGTTAGAATAAACTGTGGGCATATTGAATGTGATAGGACAAGGAAACGTTTTCAAAGACAAACATGAGAATCGTTACATACTCTTAGGAATAAAAATCCTTGGCCACAATGATAAGAAATGTATCCCAAGGTTGAAGGGTCAGTTGCCAGGCAGATGTCCTTGTAGGCATTTCTTCTATAGAATTTCAGTGGCCTCTGGGCAAGCTTGTGCTGGCAGACTTTTGATAGTTTCTGTAGGCATCCATTTAAGAACCATTCTTCCTAAACCTCCCCATTCTTGTTTATTTCTTGTTATATTGGTTTTGAGACCGGGTCCTACCATGTCATCCAGGCTGGTCCCAATATGCAGTGAGTGATTCCCCCTGCCTCATCCCGTGAGTAGCAGAACTATAAGCACATGCCACCAACTAAATTTAGAGCTTACTTACATTTGTTTTTGTTAAAAGTCCCTGCGTATCCTCAACCTTACCATTTTTGTCTGATTTCCTATTGCTAAAACGCCTTTTTGTGTACTGTGATTTGGCCACATTTCCATGGGATTCCTGAAGTGGTCTTTTGCTTGGAGAAGATAAGAAGGCAATCAGAGGCGTCTTCTACTTTTCTTTCTAGCCAGAATCCAAGAGCAGCCATTGTACTGTATGTTTTGTTTTTCTCGCTCTATACACGCAGTGTACCAGTTCACTGGGTTAGTAAACTCTTTACATAATGGCCTTTGTACCATACAAGGGGGAAGACGGCAGTTGGGGGAAGATGTGAAAGAATTTTAAAACTCTTGGAAGAAAATAGTTGAAAATAAACTTTACTGCCAAAAATGAGGTCAAAATCTAATAAAACTCTAAAATCTTTGTAATTGATTTTGTTTTAACATGTTTGCCCTACAGGTCAGGGTACTAGTAACCATTAAAGTTATTGGTTGTACCTGGGTCTTATTTGCGTCTCTGTTAAATAAAAAAAAAAAAATTAACCTCTGCCCCTAGAAATGCACGAGAAACATAATAGGTAGGAATTCCCGTGCTTTATCAGTCTATGATGCCATCACACAAGGGCCACCAGTACAGTTGATGACACTAAGAAAAACTTTTACATTTAAATTATGGGATGCTATTTATGGTTAAAATGCTTCCAAATTCTAGCAACATTAAGAAAACCTGTCATTTTACAGCTCATAAAACATCGATGTTAGAACTCTAGGGTGATGGGAACATGCAAAGGTTAAGAAGCTTTGGCAATGGAATCGTCAGGGATAAAGGCTGTGATATTAGATGGCATAGACAAGGTACACATCACTAATCTGAGCACAGTAGGAGGACACGAGAGAGGCAGGCAGCTATCAAAGGCTGAGGGATGGCCGACTGAAAGAGGAGCTAGTACAAAAGTCCTAAACAAATGTCCACTTGAGTTGCAGGGATATCAAGGAAGCCAGTGTGATGGACAGGTTAAGTGAGTGAAAGACTGAAAGGAGATGAGGTCACAGGACCAAAGTGCTAGATCACAGTACAGGCCAGAAGAGAGCATCAGATCCCCTGGGGCTCGAGTTCCAGGTGAGCTACCTGCAGGTGCTGAGAAATGAACCTAGGTCCCATGTAAAACCCGCAAGTGCTCTTAACTGCTAAGCCACAACTCCAGCTGCATGGGCCCCATAGTTCACATCTTTAACATGTTTCCAGATGAAGCACTAACCATCCCTAAGGAACAAATTACATCACCATATGAAATATTCTCCTTGCAAGGAGACCTAGACAACTCAACCCATCTCTATTTCTCCCTAATCTCTCTCTTTATTTGAACAAGTGTCTGCAATAATTCGTGTGCACTTGGAAGCTGAGAAGCATTTCACACTTCAGGGGCTGGCATCGAAAGGATTTCAATAGGAAATGTATATTTCAGAGACAAGATCCTATGAAAAATGCCCTTCTCACATCTCGGGCAGACTACATAGTACTTGTAAGGATGTTAAAAACTGAATTTGCATTGCCAAAATGAGTAACTTCAAGACAAGTCAAAAAGGCTGAAAGGTTGCCCGCCGTCAGCCTTCCATTAGCGTGTAAGAATCTTGTGAGGCCCAAATCTACACATGGTTTTCGAATTTCACCCCAGGCTCATGTGCAGATACTCTGTAATTTTGTTGCAGGGAGGGGGGCGCTAGGAAGATGGCTCACTCAGTAAAATGCTTGGTACCTGAGTCTGATCCCTAGAACCTGTGTTTAAAAGTGCAGTACCAGCAGGAGGCTGTAATCCCAGCACTGGGGAGGCAAAGGCAGGTGGGTTCCTGGGTGTCCCCAGAGAGCCTAGCGTATCAGTGAGTTGTGAGACCATGAGAGAGCCTGTTTATGGTCCTACAGAGGAATATCACCTGAGGTTGTCCTCTGTCCTCCACACACTAACAAAACTGTCTCCCAAGTCCAGTTAGGATAGCTGGATCTCTGTGTGCCAGCCCAATACTGCTTGCTCCCTCTTCTTACAGAGTCAAAGTGATTGTCGTCCCTAGTAGAGGGACCTGTACAAGGTAACCTGTAGCCTCAAAACATCTGGAATCTTAATCCAGAGATTTAAGAAGTGATTTATTTAGAGACCTGAGTGACGTTTGGGACAAGTGAGTGAGTAGATAAATAGTGGGGAGAGAAAGTATTAGTGTGAGTCTCTTCCAGTCTTCTCTTGTTCATTCAGGAGGAAATTGTATTGTTCATTTGAGGAGGAGATGACCATCGTGTTTGGGAAAAGGGATATAGGCTATCCAAGATCCCATCTACAATTAGACTTGGCTGAATGATCACATAGTGGATGAGAATGGCAGCAAGAACTCGGGGCTAAGGAAACTGCACAGAAGGTGAGTCAGGAAAGTAGCTGTGCTGATGGCAGATTTCACGTGCTGGTGGAAGTGACTCAATTCTACTCCTCCAGGAAAAGGGAACAAAAAGACCAAGCGAATCCCGTTCTTTCCGCCTTTCAACTCAGTCTTAGCATGCTGAGTTTCTTTACATGACTTAGTAGCTGCAATTCATTCATGCCCACATTCTTTACTAGGAAGGCAGAGGCTTTCTGTGTTGCACCGACCTTCCTTTAGCATCTGCACAGCTCTGCTATGTCTCACTAGACACAACCTGCGACAGCCCACGCGCAGATGGGGAGATCATTTGGTCTTAGGCTATATTATGCTGAAGGCGAACAAGCATGGAGACATCAGCGATGTCGGAGCTAGTAACCCTATAGTGTGTACGGTCGCCTTTTCCTCCTCTTCCTCCTTTCCTCTCCCCTCCTATCCCTTCTCTACTTTCCTCCACTCCCTTCCACTCTTCTTTGGTCTTGAGGACCAAAGAAATTCCTTCTAATTTTATTTTTCCACTGAATTGATCCCAGGCTTTCCATCTGAAACCTTAAGTCTTAAAGCCTGAACAACCATGATTTCAGACAACTTCACGAGTAGTTGAAAAAAAAAAAAATACCTTCCCAGGTAGCGTGGCCAATCACGATGGCCTGGATGCGGCAAGTCACTACCGGAAAAGTTCTGGCTCAGCCACAAACTCCTCTGCTTTTGCCCCGCCCCTTTAAATATCGTACTTGTCTGAAGCCAGAGTTGGCCATTTTGGATCCGGGCGGAAATGAACTCCAATCAGGCCGGCTAAAAACCCAAACATTAAACTAGGACACCTGTGCAATCAAGATTAAAAACACACGCAGACGGGTTTCTTTGCAGCCAGAGTAGGCTGCTGGGAGCAGGCGCGCGGCGCAGGCTTCCCCGGCGCCCAGCCCTGAAGATGACACGGGCCCGAGCATCACCTGCGCGGCCGCTCTAGCTCGGTTCCGGGTTCGCGCACCTCGGTGGTGGCGTCGGAGGAACTGGAGGCCGGTCTGTTGACCCGTTTCCGGGCCCTGGTGGTGCGGTCTGAGCCCGGTGCTCGGGAGACTGTGGGTGGAGGGGCCTAGGCCTGCGCGTCGGAGCCAGCCGCCAGCCTCCTCCCGCCGCCCGCAGGTAACCGGGAGCCGAGCGGCCAGGGCGGCGGGGCAGGGCGGGAGCGGGGTCGCCGCTCGCGGGGAGCGCTGGGGCGGCCGGTTGAGTGCCGCCTGCTCCGGCGTGTTCGGGGTGCCCTCTCCCTGGCTTTTCGGGTGACCCCCCGCTCGGTGGAGAGCGGAGCGGCCGGGCCTGGCGTCTCGCAGGAAGGTCGCGCGGTGCAGGGTCCCAGACAGCGCCAGGCCCCCAGGGGCTTCTTGCGTAGAATAAAAATGACGCTTTTCTCCCAAAGTCATTTTTTTTTTTTTTGGCAGAAATTGGGGATCATAGTTACCGCTGGTTTGAGGGACTCGTGTGTATCCTGAGCTTGAGGTCAGGCAGGGTACTTTTAGACAGCAGAGACTACATGATCACCTAGCACTGTGGTTTGAGTTCTTGACCGGGAACGTCCATGGCTGAAACCCATCAAAGCACAGGGCTGCTAGGTTTATCACCCAAGAGCTAAGTGCCAGCAGATAGGGCATAGTCTCAGGATTCTCGGGGTAATGGTGTAAGCTTTGGCACTTTGAAGCTAAGGAAACGGGAGCCAAGAGGATCTCTACTGATTGTTGGGAGAACTAACAGAGACATATTTCTCTCAGAGGACACAGGTTTTATGGTTGAGTCTAGATGTTGCCCGGAGAATTAGGCAAGGGTGCTTCCCAGCCACAGGTGGTCCCTTCTGAAGCTTCACCTGAAGCAAAGAAAGAAGGTTGGAGGAAAATAGGTAAACGAGTTTTTTTTTTTTTTTATAAAGATAGCTATGGTGAATATTCACATCCGAGGAGACTGTCAACTCAACGTTTCACTGTAGAAAGCAGAAGTGTATTCTGTAAATTGTCTGTGCCATATTAGAATAGCCTTTTCTACCTTCGGGTGACTTTCAAATCTATGTGGCACTGTTTCATATTTTCCTCCACACTCCCAAAACCAAGAAAGAATATTTGGAGCTCGGAGTGTTATTTGCGCCTTGCATTCCAGTATGTTCTCAGTTAGTGGTGGGAAGACCCAATGGCCACTTTAGGGTGTTGTCAAATCCAGTCCTCAGTACCTTTTCCTGCTGCACTGGGCATAAAGCTCTGCTCTTGGTCGGTGTCAGTAGACAGCTCTCCGTGGCCAAGCTTTCAGGACAGCAGTACAAGGCATACCGTTCTCACTAGAAACGGAGTCATCCCTTTTTTAAAGTGATTTTTTTTTTAGGGTCATAGGCAATACACTGCTGTGAAAAATGAGCAGCTTTAGTATCTTTCTAATCCTTTTGTAAACCTCAAGTTATTATCACGTGTGTACTTAGAATACTGAATTAAAGGTTCATAGATATTCTAAAGCCTGGTATTCCAACAAGGGCCTTTTTTACTATTGAGAATGAATAAATGAAATATCCATTGTCCTTGCCTTGGGTAGCATAGCTCATGAACCTTGAGGACTAACAATGAAACTCAGGCTCATGACTTCCTGCCAGGCAGACACTCACCTTGTAGTTCCTCCTTCTGTTTTTCCTTTATTGTTTGCTGATCTTGAAAAGTTTTGCTTTGGAATGAGCCAAGCCTGCAGGCCAGCTCCACCTACTTTTCAAAGTAACCCTTCTCTAACTCATGCCTGCGGTGTTTCAAGCAGGGCTTAGAGTGGAAATAGCAGTTGGTCTCAAAGAGCGTAGGCCAGTCAGAAAAGCTACGGACTCTAAGAGAGTTAGTCAGTGAAGAAACTATTAGAAACCAGCTGTTCATCCTCCAGACCTGAGACAGGTCTGAGATGGGGGTGCTGCGGGTGTGTCTGGCCCTTCCCCCAGCCTGAGCTTGTTACGCCACTACCACTCACTACCTCGCTGCAACCAAGTTTTTGCTCCCCGTGCCTTCCTACAACATAGCTCCAGTTCCACCCCCTGCTTCCCCAGTCTCCACCCCTGCTACCCCAGTCTCCACCCCCTGCTACCCCAGTCTCCACCCCCTGGTCCCCCCAGCTCCAGATGTGCTACTAGTGATGGAGAAAAGCCTTGCCCAGTTCTGGTGAGTCTGCGCCTTTGTTCCGGTTGTAGACACTGAAGACAGTCTGTGAGTTGACTGCTCTTTGACCTGAAGCAAGTCATTAACTTTGGCCAGGTGCAGGAGGAAGGCCCTCACTGAGCAAGCACTATGCATCCCCAGATAAATGGAGTTGCTTTTCTCCATTTTCTGCATGAACTGTTTTTATCTGTTGTTCCAGTCAAAAGTGGGTGTTTCTTATAACTGAGGCTGTTGAATATTTTGATACTGTTCTTAATGTCACTTCTTTTTATTTATATTTTGAAATTAGTCCTTAATTATATCATTCCCCTCTTTCCCTTTTCTCCTGCCAACCTTCCCATGCATCCCCCTCCTCACTGCTCTCTCAAATTCATGGTCTCTTTTTCTTTAATTGGTGTGTGTGTGTTCTAAATGCATAAATACAACCTGCTCAGTGTGTACAATGTTACCTGTATACACACACACACACACACACACACACACGATGTCAGGGTTGACCACTTGCTATTGGACTTGCAGTTGGGCACTCTTCCCTTTGGAAGAACACTTCTGATTCCCAGCATTCCCCAGTTGCTGTAGTTCTTTGGCTAGGGTCGGGAGAGCTTTCATCCTTTCATGTTAGCATGTCCATTGGGGTCCTCGTTGTTCAGGTCTTAGTTAGACAGGCATGTTAATGAGACTGAATGGTATCACCTCTTTGGCTTTCTAGTAGATACAATACCACAGCAAACTTCCTGTTCCTCTGGCTTTTACAAGCTCTCTCTTCCTCAATTATCCCTGAGCCTAAGAAAGATAAATTGCTAGTGACTTAAGAGCTCAGTGCGTTTGCTAAACAGCAAAGTTAGTTCTTACCTACAGACAGTCTTAGATTTTCTGTAGCTTTTTCCCTAGTGCATTTTGTGTTCCTTGCGAAGTGTATACATCCATACATGTTTTAAATTCTATGACAGGCTTCTTTTTTAAGCATCATTACATAAATAACAAATTATTCTGTGGCTCTTCAAGTGGAAGGAAAATCTAAGTCAAGAGAGACTTGTGTCGTGACTATTAGGTTTGTATTTATACAGAGACTATTTTTGGGAGGTGAGGGGTTCAAGACAGGGTTTCTTTGTGAACTCTAGCTGTCCTAGAACTCACTTTGTAGACCAGACTGGCCTTGAACTAAGAGACCAACCTGACTGCCTCCCAAGTGTTGAGATTAAAGGTATGCACCACCACCACCACCGTCTAAGACTGTTTATTTTTAACTGCAAAGTTTTACAAGCCTTTAATTTGTGTGTGATTGGGTTTGCGGAAGGAAGTACCTGTGACTGGTGGCACACATTTTCTCTGGAGTTGTTAGTTGTTAATTAACAAGCATTCCTGATAACTTGCTGTTCGTTGACCATTTGTGATATCAAATGAAGCTGTCATCACTGCAGAAATGACGTAAGTTTGAATGGACATTTCGGTGTGAGCTGGAGAGCCAGCTTGGCTTATATTGCAGATATGTAATGTTTTCTCCTGTGTTTTAGACCTGCTTGATCTGAGGAGGAACTCCCCCCACTGCAGAAGGGATGGGATCAGAGAACAGCGCTTTAAAGAGCTATACACTGAAAGAGTCGCCGTTCACCTTGCCTTCTGGACTTGCTGTTTATCCCGCCACACTGCAAGATGGGAAATGTGCCTCCGTGTTTGTATATAAGAGAGAAAATGAAGACAAGGTTAACAAAGCCGCCAAGGTACTGTAATGGGGTTATCTTCATAGGGCTTTTTATTACCTCGTTTCCTCTCCAGTGACCTTCCTAAAGATGGAGGGAGGTGTGGTCACAAGCAGTGGTATGTTATTATCGGTGTCCCATAAAGACAGTTGTTCTGTCCCTAACACACCATCCCACAGCCAAAGAGCGTCACACAACTTATTGTGATGGTTTTTATCACAGGGCTTTTAAGGAGAATGGTAGGCGGGTGACTTCACATGGCTGACCTAAGAGATGGGATTAATCTAGTTTAACAAAAATGCTGCTTATTGATGTTCTCATTAGTGTATTGATGTGTTGAAAATATAGTTTTTTAGGAATTTTATGTTATCTCTCTTGCCCCGAAACATTGTAATGTCACAGCATTTTAAAAAGAATTTTATTTGTATTCTTTTGTAAGTGTTACCTGCTGAGCCGTCTCTCCAGCCTTTGCCCCACCATTTTGAATTTGTGTGTTAGATTGGCTGTCACAGACAGTGTTTAGTCTGCCTTTGGCTCTTGGCGAGAGACCTTACAGGGTCATTGACTTCTGGAGGTGTCCATTTTAGCCCCTTAGTTGAGAGTGTCACTGCAGTCGGTTTGCTGTGTGATTCAGTGTCAGGGACGGTGACAGAGAAGAAATGATGCCTAGGCTGGTGGCTCAGTCGTGCAGTACTCCCGTGGCGTGGCTGAGCAGGTGGATCTGTCCTCCAAAAAAGAAAAAAAAAAAAAGTAAAAAACAAAAGGAAAACTAGCACTGAAAAAGAAAGAATGAGCCCACCTTGGAAGAATATCTCTAATAAAATAACCTGTTTTCTTAAAGAAAGCAGTGCTGTGTGCTGGCAGTTCCTTGGATAACCAACTTTCACATATTTTCTAACTCATCATCAGCGAGTTTCTAGAGAAAAACACAGTTGTGTTCCTGAGTTCCTTCTGCAGTGTTTCTGTATAGGACTGGGAAGTTTTCCATTTGAACTGATAGCTGTTTTGTTGGAATCGTGGCCTGTGTCACTATGAGTTCCTTTTTAAGAGTCCATAGATGGAGAACATAATTCCATAAGCTGCTTACGTGCTTTATTTCTTTAATGGCTATAAAGATTATGTTAGCAATATTGGTATTCCATTGCTCACACTCATTAGTTGTTTGATGTTATGTCTTAGATTAAACACAGAATTGACAGTTTTGACAGGTTCCTATGGGAAAGGACATAGTTTTCATTGTGTGTGTGCGCCTGCCCACACCCTGGGAGTGCTACATGCTGAGTAAAAATTGTTGGGAGCAATGAGACCCCAGATCCTGAATTTCTTGTAATCCCCTGATCTGAGTGCCTACAGCTGCTCTGAGCACGAGACCTTCAGGAGTTCCTGATGGCAGGAGAGTGGTTTCTGGTGGGTTTGGCTGGGGTGTGGCTATCTCTATATAATCTGCCCCTGAAAGCAATAAAGGGGGCATTCTTGGGGAATTCAAGGATGACCCGTGTCACTGTCTCTCTGTCTGTGTGTGTCTGTGTATTTTAACCTCCAGCCCCCTTGCCCGAAGCTCGTGAACTGGGTGCCAGCGCACAGAGCGCAGACACAGGGGCGCGGTGCGCGGCAAAAAATCATACGCCATCTAGGTATTGTTAATGATTTTTATTGTGACTTTACAAAAGATGAGACATCAGACTTTCTACTCTTAGGTGCAGTTAGCATCTAACGTGTTGATTGACTTGCCCTGTTAGAGTGTGTGTTGTCTTCTATGACTTAGAGTGACTGTAGCCAGTGAGGCACTTATGTTTACAATCTTTCTAGTTCCTCCTGTCCCTAAGACTATTAATTACTACCTTTTGTAGCATATGGGCCCTGAAGTAAAAATAACACAGCTCATACGTTTTGTAAAAGAAAAAATCCCAAAGATCTGCTTTTGGAGATGAAGACTTTTTGTGCTGTAAGAATTTTAAAGCTTAGAGTAAAGAGTTCTCCGCTGTTGTCTCTAGATTCCCTGTTAAGTCCTGGCTGAAACTTTGCAGCTAGCCCCTCCCTGTTTCTTCAGCCACACTGAGAAGTCTGGGACGACAACAAAATGCTAAGGAGTTGGTGTTACCAGGATGTCTTCGAGTCTGAAGAAGTGGCCATGGCACTTAAGAAGTATATGGCATGACATGTTGCTTTAGGGATGTCATGCCCTAGATACACAAGTACTAAAGCAACTGCAGTTAGCAGCCGCCTCTAGGGTTCCTGGTCCTACCTCTGAGAGATTCAGTTATTACTAGGAAACAATTCTATTCTTTCTCTACTATAAATTAAAAATAACAACCATACTATACTGTTGGCCTCTGGAAGAAGAAATGCAGCTATTTGGTTTGTCACAGAACAGTATAAATGGTAGCAATGTCTGTTAGACCACATTTTATCTTAAATGCATCAACTGTAACTAAGAGCACAGTCTTCTCACAGGGACTCAAGTTCAGTTCCAGCCTACAGTCTGTAAGAAGTGAAACAGTCTAAGAATGTGGTTACTGTGGTTTGCTGCAGTCCAGATGCAGATAGGCTTCATGGGAATCACGAGCTTCTAGAAGTGGTCCCAGAGTCCACTGGACTCCAGCACAGCTGCACAGCTGTTCAGCTGCTCTCTCTGGCATTCTCAAGTGCATGTGTTCTTCATGGTGGAGTGTGCCCCAAACCAATAACTGCCCAGACTTTCTGTCTGAACTCTGCCCTGCATTTCCACCTGTCTGCCCATACCTGAGCCCGGGTGCTCCACTGGGGCCCACTGTCTCCAGAGTTTATATTTTTAGTAATGATGCTTTTTTATGCCCCTATTCTCCCCTTTTTGGGGAACCTCATTACCTGATTAGACCTTTTGTTATTGTCACACAGGTTCCTCTGGTGCTAATCATTAAAACAAGCAACATTTTTTTATTCCTTGGATTGGTTAATAGCTTCAGATTTCCTCACTCTATACTATGGCATATTCATATGGTTAATGAATTCCTACCTTGAGTTTTTAATTTCTAATAATTTCCCATTAAAAATGGATCACATTCTCAGGCTGAATATATTTTGAATTCCCTTTTGAATATTTTAATGTTGCATGGCAGAGATTATTGATTCTGCCACCAATTTAACCTTCCTTAGGTTCAGACCTCAAGTTCCCATGAATAGTAGTTCAAATTCCTTCCTCTGGTTAGGTCTTTCCCTGTGCCTGCTTGCTGACTCCAGAGTTTGAAGATTTATAGCTGTGCAGAAAATGGGGCCTGTCCTTCGCCAGCTCTCCACCTTTTGGAACAGTGGTCTCATGCTCTGCCCTCCCTAGGTTCCTTTCTGAGTGTAGCCTGAGAGATATGGAGATTTTTGGTGCAGTTTGGTACCCTTGCTACCCTACTCCGTGCCTGAGGCCTGCTGTTAGTGTGTGATTCATTACAGGAGGAGAGGTGAGCTTCATTTTCACAGCTCCTTGACTCTGCTCCATAATCTGGGCGCTCTGCAGAGTTCTTGGCCGTTTCTGGCATTTCATTCCAATTGCATGGCAATGATAGTTGGAGGGCGTGAGAGCTCCAGGGACTTATGAGGGAATAGGAAGTCTCTGTAGAATTATTTAAGCATTGGTAAATTGAATAAATTTATTCAACTTAGAACAGGTTATAGATTCTTTTTTTGTCCTTGAAATCTGGGAGAGCATAGGGAAGTTAAAGGACTTTCAACAAAAAGCATGCCTTGATTCCAGTGCGTATGAACCTGTAACTAATGTGGCTTGAGTCATTAACTTCATCAACTCTCTGTTTGTGTTTCAAAGCACTTAAAGACCCTTCGTCACCCGTGCTTGCTAAGATTTTTATCTTGTACTGTGGAAGCAGATGGCATTCATCTTGTCACTGAGAGAGTGCAGCCTCTGGAAGTGGCTTTGGAAACCCTGTCTCCTGCAGAAGTCTGTGCTGGAATCTATGACGTATTGCTGGCTCTTATCTTCCTTCATGACAGAGTAAGTGGACTGACTGATGGGGACTGAAGTGACCCTCTGGGCGGTGGTACTTAGAGACCGATACAGAGAGAAACTGAGCCAGAGTGGAAGGAACAAGGGATCCTACAGATCATTTGTGGACTCAGCACTGCTTGTCTGTCCCTGAGCAGTTATTTACAGTTTTCTTTCCGTCTGCTGTCTCCCTGTTCTTTAAGTCTCTATCTAAACATGGCCAGTCAGCACTGGCTAAGAGAAAGGGCGGCCAGCCATTGCTATAGACCAAAGCCCCTCTTTGTTTTCAGAAGCTCTGCTCCACTCTAGATTTCAAAGAAAGAAATAGCCATTTTTTCAGAAGAAATGGGTGGGTGAATCCAGTGAGGAGACAGCCCCATGGTTGGCTAGTAAGCTTGGCTCTGGTGATTTCTGGGATAGATGTCGGGTCTGTGCTCACTTCTGGTCTGTTTGTTGTCACTGTTCTGAGCTGTCACTGTATGGTGTGTCCATTCTGAAGCATTATATCTTCGGCAGTCTGCAGAGATGGGATGGCAGCAACGCAGGCTACACATGCTGGCCCCAGGCTCATCTCAGCATCTTAAAGCTGTTTGTCATGTGCAGTTTATAATTTCCTAGAATTTCAGAGTCTGTTGAGGTTCACATGGCAGCAAGAACTATTAATGCTTCATTGGGGAGGAATGTCTTTTTTGTTGATGAAAATCTATCTATAATAGAAAAGCAGCAGGATTAGAGGGCGTGTTAACCCTCTGTCCCGTCCTTGGATCTAATCTTCCTCTGAGACAACTGTGGTGCTCAGTGCATTATTCCAGAGAAATTTTGTGTGAATGCCAAGCAAATATTTTGTTTATTTTCCTATTTTTCCCAATAGAAGCATATTATACTGTTAAAAACCTTCCTTTACTATATATCAGAGTCTTCTGTATAAAATATGTACACATTGGATCTTGTGAGTAGAATATCTAGTGTACTTTTTGTGTCCTGGAATGGATGATTTCTGGCTTGAAAAAGAAAATTAACTACTCGAACCCTGGTCTCATTTTCTCCTTCCTCATACTTATTTGAGTGTACTTTTTTTTTTTTTTTTTAATAGTTTTAAACTAGATTCTTCTGTGGTGGGTGGTGGTTCTTGACATTGCATTTCCCCCTCTTCTGGTAGGATGTTGTTAATGCCTACTGACTGCCGGGCTTTCGGGTGGAGTGATCTGGGTTCATGACAGCCTACAGGCAAGAGAGACTTTAAGGGGAAAGGGACATAATATGCAGGAGCCCCTGTACCTTTTGTTTAAGGTACTGAAGCAGCTGATCCAGGCCGTGGAGACTTGTGGATGTTTAAGGACGTGTGGCTCCTAATTCCCAAGAAATGGGAGTGATGCTATCTGTGCATAGGATTTGGTGTCTTCACGACCTTCCTGCCAGGTGGGGGCGCTAGGCAGAGCCTTTCCTTTCTTAGCTGCGTCTGGTTTGTTCATCTAACTAAGCACAGCTCCATTGGTTATGCTGCGGGTGCCAAAGACCACATCGCACTGTGTGTGGTGACTAGTATTTAATTGTTTAAAACCTTCAGGTTTTGGGTTGTCAGTCTTGTTCCTTTTCTGTTTGTCTCTTTCCCAGGGACATCTGACACACAACAATGTCTGCTTGTCTTCTATTTTTGTGAGTGAAGACGGGCACTGGAAGCTCGGAGGCATGGAAACGGTGTGCAGAGCTCCTGAGGCCACGGCAGAGGTGAGCCAGTGATGGTGATGCGGGGTGGGTTTCACACCCCAGCAGTGTCCTTAACTGTTAGGATTGTAGATTTGAAGAGCTGAACTCTGTGTTAAAGCTCATGTTCAGAAAATTGTAGTGTTTATTGCTCAGAAGTTCTGAGGTTCATGTATCCCGTATCATTTAGTATGTAAGGAGCCCAAGACTGAGAGGTAAATGGTTTATTCAACATTGAAGCCAGCTGCCCGCCTCTCTGTTCCCATAGCTACTTTGTGCCTCATTATGATGCTCAGTGCTAAGGTTGGCTTTTTGTGTCTCTTGTGTCCCGGCAGTCGCATGTCGTACTTTGTATCTCCTCCTGCGATAGCAGCTGCTATTAGGAGGCCAGGAGTGTTCACTGGACATTGTCTAAGCTGCCCCGTGTCAGGACACTATATTGTGTGGAGTTGTGGGTGAAATTGTTGTTGCCATGGAACTTGCTATACATTCACCCTAGTAGACAAGCTGCTCTATTCTCTGTTCTGTTTCTTTCACCATTTGCATGTGGTTCCTGGCTTACTTTTTCTAAAAGAAATAAAAAAATCACTCCCTTCATAATGTCAGATCCCCCCTGTACCTGGAGTTATAGGCAGTTGTGAGTCACTTTACATGGGTGCTGGGAACTGGCTTCAGGTCCTCCAAAAGATGGGGACACTCTCCCTTTGATGTGTTGGTTCAGTCTATCTTCTTGGGCCGTTTCTACCCTTAGACGTTCATGAGTGGTACTGTGTTCTGATGCTGCCAGTTCTGTAAATATCCTCTCCTTACCTCTGTCTCTGTTGTACACTTTCTTCTCTGAACTCATCTCCGATCTGACTAGTCTGTAGTCCATAGCATAAATTCTTTGCCATGGGGCACACAGCTGCTCACAGTACCTGCCCATTCCACCTTAGCTCTGTTTAGCACCCACAGCCCCACACTCCTGAGCTGTTGCTTACACGGGGGGCAGCTCAGATGCTTCCCTATTTTTGATGTGGTTCTGCTGCCGAACTGCCTTCTTCCTCCTGTTGGCCTCCTAGAAAATGGAAACACAGATCGAGCCTAAGTCCATCTGAATCCTTCCTTATCTGAAAGAATTAATCACTACTGTGGGCTTCGTGGTGCTCGGCACATCTATTAGAACTGCTAGCTTCTCTCCAGGTTGTAAGCACTGGTTGGGGACAGGAGATCCTGTCCATTCATCTCATAGTCCTTGTGCTAGAAATGGCATTTTGGAAATGTAAGCTTTTCAGAAATAATCTTTGGATAGGTGAATAGGTGTGCCTATTCAGTGGGTGTTGTTTTTATCTGTACAGCCCATATGAGCCTCACATATGGCTTGTGACATATGGTCTGAGCCTTAATGTCTGTGACAGCAAAACTTAAGATTCCCGTGGTAAATTTTTGTTGTGTGCTGACCTCCCCACCCCCAAAAAAAAGGATCTCACTATGCCTTCCAGGCTGGCCTTGAGCTTATAGCTCAAGTAACCTTGCTTCAGCTTCCTTACTAGTGGCCACTATAGGCATGGGTCATATCTGACCGAAGCACCTTACAGTTATTCTGTCTGTGGGAAAGTGGATAGTTCAGGGGCCTCTGATGACAAGCCCAACGGAAGAACAGCTGCCACTGATGCTTCCTGCGCCCATGCTGTGCTGGGGACCACAGTCACATCAGATTAGGAAGGCTGGACATTCAAGAGTGGGGTGTGTGGCACTGATCAAAAGGTTTCCAGGCTCTTGCTTCCACTGCTTGTTTCTTTTTTAAATTGACCTAAGATTAAGTTACCAAATATGAGTTATTTTTCTTAATTTATTTCTTTGTCTAGTTTCTCAGGAGTATCCAGTCAGTAAGAGACCCAGCGTCTATTCCTCCTGAGGAGATGGTGAGTAGATGCCATTTGTGAAACTAAGTCAGCCTCTGCTGTGCAACAGCGGAAAACTAAGACCCTCACCATTTCCTCTGCCCAGTTTACTAAATCAGAGGTGTCTCATGATGACCGTGAAAATGCCTGAGACTAATCTTACTGTCACAGTTAGGCCAGCTTATGGACTGTGTATGTGTTAAAGATGGAGATGCCCCAGTGTGGCGAGAGCATCATATCTATTTCAGGAGAAGTTGTTGTACTCTGCTAGAGGCCGTGATTCTGGGGGAAGCAGTGGCCTCCTCCTTCCTCTGCATCATCCCAGCCACACGTCTTCCTAGCTGCTCACAGCTGGAACTCCTGGGCATGTGCAAGAGGGGTTGTTAATACCGTGGTGAGGAAAGGACCATTTACTAGTCTAGAAGGTGAGCCCTTTACACAGTTTTTACAAGCCCTAAATAAAGCCCCAACCTCCAGAGACAATGTGCTCTACAGGAAATGCAAGCCCAACTGTAAGCTAGAGACCTAAGATTTGCGATCGCAGGTTAACCAAATCTGTGTATATGCATAGACTAGGGATTTTTTTTAAAACTGATGATTTGTGGATTTTAAGTCAGTTCATCAGCATTTTGAAAATGTTGAAAATATCACTGGGCATGCCAGAGTATAAGAAAAAACACTGTTTTATGAACTTTTGTTTTCATTGTGTGTGTATAGTATAGTATTTTTAACCCTGGGTTGCAGTCAAACACAATTCAGAAAGCCACAGATAAGTATTTTCTCTTTTTTCATATATGATATTTTTAAATCTTTGATAAACTTCTTCATCAACTAATAGGTCAAAAATTTTTCCATTATTGAGAGAGACCTACGATTTTAACTGACATACAATTGTACCAATTTGTCACATACTGTGTACTAACAATTCTTAAAACCTGTGGAGTGTGGTACCATCAAGTTAGAATTAAGTATAATAAATGCAAACATGGGAGAATGTTGGAGACAGCTTATACAGCAGGTCCTCTCGTTCTAATAGTCTTCCTGCATTTAGTCTCCAGAATTTGCAGCCCTTCCCGAGTCCCATGGCCATGCCCGAGATGCCTATTCCTTCGGAACTCTGGTGGACAGCTTGCTCCCCATCTTGAATGAGCAGGGTGAGTTGGAGCTGTATGGCCACATGCATAGACTAAGTAGGAAAGCACCCGACCCGCTCCGCGTGAACTCCAAGGACTACAGTCTTTAGTGTAGTGGGGAACCCGCCGCTCACCACACTGTTTACTTAGGACAGATAGCAGCACCAAAAAGGGGAGAAGCTCGGGGTTCCATAAGGATGAATAATAAAAAAGAATTTTAAGTAGGAAGCATTTTGAACAGTGGCTGTCCCCATCATATGTGACTGTCTTCAGAGTTTATTATTGAGTTCTCCTGTGGCTAATAAATGCCCTAGTGACTGAGATGTAAAAGCCCACTTCTGCTAAAATTTACTCAGTATTTTTTCTTGTGTGTCCTCCTAAAGCCCGTCTACTTAAAGACAGTTCTCTGTTCCCTTCTGTTCTCTAATGGCATGCTCGGCAGGCTGTGTCACTCCCCTGGGGTGGACTCCAGGACATTAATTCTGCACCTGTGAAGGTTACTGAGGTGTGTGCCACATCAGGTCCTTAGTGGCCTATCACTCTGCTGACACTTCCCCAGCGCCAGTATAGCTCCTACCATGATGTGCAGTGTTCTGGTATTAGAAGGCTCTGGCTATCAACTTGAATATTTGCAAATTAAAGCCTAAGGCTCTAAGGGATTGTTGTTATGCACCTATAAATGTGGCAAATGTGTACAAGAGTTGAAAATACAGGCATTCAGTCAGCACCATGTTGAGAAGGACCTGCCCAAGAAAGATCTTCAAACCTGCCCCCTTTTGAACCACCATTTTGGACATGGTGGGTTAAAATGAGGAAATGGGGGGATGCAGAAGGGAGGCACCTGTGGCCGTGTGCTGTGCTGGCAGGGCAGCGCTGTGCACCTGCTGCAGATCTGGCCTGCCCGACGCCAGTCATGCAGCAACAGCGGGGCTCTGTGTGCTTGGGCTTTTACAGGTTGGTTTTTGCTCTCGTCAGTCTCCAGCTAGAGAGGTCCGGAAAGAGGGAGAAGGCACTGGAACTAACTTAGCTCTGGATTTCAGTTTCAGCGGGTGTTCTCTCCAGCTTCCTACAGACCTTGCACTCAACTCTACTGAATCCCACGCCCACCTGTCGACCAGTGCTCAGCACCCTACTGTCCCATGACTTCTTCAGGTGAGGCATCGGGTGACGTGATGGAGAGAGACTGGTTGCCTCTCAGGCTCCCATCACAGAAAGTTTTAGGAATTCTTAGCTGTCATGAAGGAATTTTATTCAGATTCACTAGGGATTTTGATTATAAAGAAACTAATCCGTGTGGAATAGTTTACAGTTATGTGTTAACTGATAAACGTGGCCTCTGTCTGCTGCCACTGCATTACTGGAACATGTTCTCTGGTATGTGTTGGGAGGGGGCAAGTTTTGTTTCTTCAGCAGTAGACTGTTTCCTTTGTCCCAGAATATGTAGAAGTCGGTTAGAAGGAAGGACACAGTGTAAATACTTTCCTGGATTCACAGATGGTATTGAATTGTCAAGAGTACTTTAATCATATGGTCTTTCACTTCTCTAACCACAGACCTTGTGCCCAGGTTAGTTCCACGTTTATGAATTTTATTAGCAAAGCTAACCTTTTGTGTTGTACTCAGAGAGCTTAGCAGGAAGCAGAGCAAAGGACAGCTGTGCTGCTCCTGAGATGAGCCACCTCTAGAGAGGCACATTTTGGGGTTGCTACTGAATTAGTGCCTGTAGTTATCAGAAGTACAGTTGCTATTTAAGGTTTTAAGTTTTTCCAGTGTAGCAGATTACGGCCTCCATTTAGTTCCTAAATTGACAAATACAATTGTATATATTTACATGTACAAGTCTTTCAACAATTATTATTATAAACATGTATTTTCTTATGTTTGCAGATGATTCTTAGAAACCCTCTATTTTTCATGATATAAAATCTCTACAAAGATAATTCACTATAGTAAATTGTCACCACTATGTGTAATACAAGTTCTCTAAGAAATGTGTATTAATATAGAGGGAAGAAAAAAAAAAACGAAAGACCACTCCAACCCACACTTGACACATCCACTGTGGTGAGGAGTAAATATGTCGGAGGCCACAGGATGAAGCAGGTCAGCACCCATCACTGAGGCAGCTGAGCCAGTTTCATTCGATTCAAGACACTGTGCTTAGGTTCTGCTGCAGAGGATTGGACAGACACTGATGACGGGTTCAGGATGCACAGGTCCACTTAGGTTTGACATGAATCTTTAAAGTTTAAAAAATTGAAACTCTGAGACAAATTTCATAGCCTAGAAATATCAAAGGGAGAAACAGATTGTGATAGACACATAAAATAAATGTAGATAGTCTATTATTTGGGTCCATGAAGTATAAACAAGTTGTCCTTATAAGAAGCTAAAGTTTATGAACACATACTCATACATTTCTAGACCATATGGTACCATTTACAGCGAGACACGAACACATGAACTAGGAAAGCTCACAGGTACACATATTCCTGGTGCTGCATACAGCACTGCAGGTGTTGCCCTGGAACAGCACGCGATATGAATCAGCTCCAGAAAAGCGGAAAAATGGCTGATGCAGTACAAAGAGGTTTTCTGAGTTTCTTGTGTATTTTCCATTGTGTTTTAACTCATGCACCATAGAAAAGTGTGTTAGTAGACTGTTTTCATTAAAGCATCTGGTCAACACCAGGCTAATGGGAATTAAGTTTTGGAGAAGTCAGAGTCACGTGACTTTCTCTGCGGAAGAAGTCATGGAAGTCAGTGCCCTGTGATGAGTTGTCCAAGGGTCGCATGGAGATGTTAACATGGGAAGGGAGGCAGTAACTGTGCGTGCCATGTCGGCTGCCAAGCTTGTGTGCTTAACTGCCGTGCAATAGCTCCCGTATGGTAAGTTGTGAGCCGTGCTCTCTTGGAACAGTTTACAGGTTTGGAACCATCTGTGGATTCCTTAGAAACTGACCTTGCTTGAGCGCAAAAGTCAGAAAAGTGAGAAAATGCTTGTGACTCCTACAGAAATTCCACTTCCCAAAGGAGAGACTTGGGAATCAGCAGCTTCTTTGAAATGTTTATGCCATTTCCCAGGACAGTCCAGTGCCAGTGTCCTGTGTCAGTGGAAAGTTGGGGGAAGTATGCTTGCTACTGAAGCCTAAAGTACACTAGCATGCGTGTCTCCATTTATAGCCTCTGGCAGATATTTCTGGAATTTGAAGACATGAGGCTCTTCCAGGTTTGCTCCATTGCATAAATCTCATCAGCTACTTTGAATCTTTCATATGACAAAGAGAACATTTCATCACTGAAAATGGTATGGTCTCTGATAATAACATCAATACTTAACATGCCTTTAATCTATTATCCTATTTTATTTTATTTTATTGCCCTGCATTTAGGAATGATTTTCTAGAAGTTGTGAATTTCTTGAGAAGTTTGACATTAAAAAGTGAAGATGAAAAAACTGAATTTTTCAAGTAAGTTTAGAAAAAACTTAGGTTTGCTAACTTGAATTAAACCTATGTTAAGCATGTCGGTGATCTAGGTAGGGGTGGATCAGACTTCTGACTTCATAGTGGTTACTGAACTTTCCTACATGCCCAGGATAGATTGTACAGGTAATGCAGGCATAGCTAGTCTGGTAACTTAAGTGTGAAGATGGGCGCAAGTCTTGCTTTGCTGGGAGGGAGGTCTCAGGACAGAGAAACAGGAGTGAACACACAAAGGCTGTGATTTGTGTAGCAAATGGCAAGCACTTGAATCCTACTGGAGGGCAAATTTCAAAACAAGAACAGGTAAGAGGTGGTCCTCGTAGATGATATTTGTAGGTAGTAGACTTCTTGCATTGAAACCACTGAGGGGATGAAGGCGTCTGTGAGATAGCTAGATCTCTCTTTACTGAGCGTTCCGTTCATGGGGGCAGGCTTAGACACGGGAGGCTGGGATTGGTTAGTATGTAGCAGTGGGTAAGAGGTTGGTGTAGGGGTACTATGGACCAGTGAAGGAGACACTGAGGTATGAAAGATAGAAAAGATAAAGCTGAGGGGAAGAGCCAGTGGGGGAGTGGAGGGAGCACTTGGAATTGAGGCTGGAGACAGCAAACTGGCGGGAGACGACGCGGTAGAGCAGCGGCCCAGGAAGGCCATGTATTAACACTAAGTGTGTAACAAGCAAAAGTAAAAGAAGAACTAGCCAGAGGTAGATGCATGACTAGCACAGCGAGCAGAGAACAGAGGTCACATGAGCAGACTGGGGACTCACCATCTCTTTCTTGTTAGATTTCTGCTGGACAGAGTAAGCTGCTTCTCAGAAGAGTTAATAGCTTCGAGATTGGTGCCTCTTCTGCTTAACCAGTTGGTGTTTGCTGAGCCAGTGGCTGTTAAGAGTTTTCTTCCGTATCTCCTTGGCCCTAAGAAAGGTGAATTTTTTCCCAGTGTTATTAGTTATGAAGGAGTTTGGCGATTATTAGTTCATTTTTTTGAATGGAGTACTATTGCAGTATTCTAAAGCTAATGTTTGCCTCTAAAGGCACAGAAGGGCTACTCCTCCCTAATATGGTAGCTTCAACTCTGACTCGGGTACCAAAGCCCACGGGTAAATATGGAACATCTTACATCGTAAGTGGTTACACACACACAGGCACACACAAATGCAAATGTGTATATGAACCTTTAATGGATAAGACATACGCTCTCAGGTATCTTTGCGGTCATCCTTAGACCTGTGCTTCCTAAGTTACTGAAAGCAACCCATGTTGTATTTTTAGTAAAAAGGTTGAAAATCTCCAAGACCATTTTTATTTCTTGGAACTGTGGGTTTCAAAGCAATTGCTTTCAAACTTTATAAGATTTGTAAGTCTTAGATGGTAACACATCAGATTAAAGAACTTATTTTTAATATGCTAAAGAATTTAGAGTTAGGTTAAATCCTGCTTTAAGAATTCATTTGTTTGTTTATCAAGATAGGGTTTCTCTGTATAACCTTGGCTGTCCTATAACTCACTTTATAGACCTGCCTCTGCCTCCCAACTGCTGGGACTAAAGGCCTGCACCACCACTGCCTGACTCATTCTCTTAAATTTAAAAAGAAAATTAATTTTATGTATATGAGTGTTTTACTTATATGTATGTGTATTACATATATACCTGGTCCCCATGGAAGATACAAGAGGGTACTGGATCCCCTGGAACTGGAGTTAGGAATTATTGTAAGCTGCTATGAGTGCTGGAACCTGAACCTGAGTCCTCTGCAAACGCCATTGTTCTTAACTAACCAACCATCTCTCCTGCCCCCGAGTTCATTGCCTTAAATGGTGTCATTCCAACAGATACTATGGGTAGTTAATTTCAATTTAGAATTGCATTTTTTTTCCTGGGTTGAACATATTTAGTCTTGAATGTTCCCTTATAGCTTTCCATCCTCACTGCTCGATTTGAGGGAGAATCCGTGAATCATCTCAGTGTTCTTTAAAGATGAGTTTTGCCCCACCCACTAACCAGGGCCAGACAGGATGCAAGCAGGACTTGAGACAGTAAATCTTTTAAGTAATTTTGAATCCACATAAGAAATCCCTTAGCTTGGGGCTTAAAATTCTAGACAAATAGGTAAAATATGTGTAAAATTCTGGACTCAGTTGACGACCCTTCCCCCTGAATGATTTGTCTGTACCTTCTGATGCCGGGTAGAGAACGCACCAGGAGAGACTCCGTGCTTGCTCTCGCCAGCACTCTTCCAGTCACGGGTGGTCCCTGTGCTGCTCCAGTTGTTCGAGGTCCACGAGGAGCATGTGCGGATGGTGTTACTGTCCCACATCGAAGCCTACGTGGAGCACTTCACGCAGGAGCAGCTGAAGAAAATCATCTTGCCACAGGTTAGGACCACGCTGGCAGTGGGAAGATGAGAGCATGCACAAGACTGCTGCCCCCTTAGGAGACGAGAGGAGGGAGAAGCTGTTCAGATAGTAGAGCAAAGTCTTGAGACAATGGCTGAGTTTAAAAGTTACTAGGATATAAAAAGGTGAAATTATATTTTCATTCCAGTCTTCTTGACCAGTCAATTAACATAAGATGTTTAGTCTTAGTCTGTGAGCAGCTATGATTCTGTTTGCTCATCTTGTAGGTAAATGGATGAGAAGACAAAAACAAGCCTAAGCAGACCGGTCCATGGCCCTTCACTAGCATTTGTGCAATAATTACATTATGATAATTACCACAGAGAACATGAGATTGTTAGCAGTGATTGCCAACCATAGGGAATGTTTATCCACCATAGGGAATGTTAGAATTTGCTTGCCCAAAGTTTGTAATAATTTTTTTATGCCATAAAAAATTATCAGAACTGGCTGTGGCGGTGCATGCCATGTAGACTTCGGGAGTTCAAGGCTAGCCTGATCGACGTATCGAGTTCCAGGATAGCTAGGGCTGTTACACAGGGAAACCCTGTATCCCTCCCCCACTCCCTCACCCCCCAAAAAAACCACAATGGCATGGATCAAAATAACAAAAATATACTGAAGCACTGGAAAACTAAAGTGGGAAATCAAGGTGCAGCTGCTTGCTTCTAAGGGCCTGCAAATTATAAGCCTTGATGCTCCCAGAAATGATAGTTTATGTATCTTGTTGGACAGCTGTTATCAGGCAGTCCACACCCATTTTCATGGAGCCTTTGCTCTGGGGCTGGCTCATAATTTGCCTATTTGGGAGTGGGGTTGGCAATCCATGATGGACTGGAAGGACAAAACATTGAACTGCTGAGGAATGTCTACGAAAATATTATTTATTTAAAGCATTATGGCTGCAGGCCAATTGCTCTTCTCCAGGAGGCAGAGGTAGTGGCTGTCTGCACTCATGACTAGTTTTGCTCCTAGGTACTACTGGGCCTTCGTGACACCAGCCATTCCATTGTGGCAGTTACTCTTCGTAGCCTAGCGGTGCTGGTATCTCTACTTGGACCAGAAGTGGTTGTGGGTGGAGAAAGAACCAAGATCTTTAAGCGTACTGCTCCAAGTTTTACCAAAACTAGTGACCTTTCCCCTGAAGGTAAGATTCAACCTTATTTTAGTAAGTTCTTATTATTCTATGATACAGGTTTTATTTTGAGGTAAATGGTCAAGCATGAGGATAGTTCATTTCCCTTTTCAGACTCTCATAGTGGGTACAAAGTGACCTTTAATGGTTTAGTAAAATTCCTTTTTTAAACCCACAAAGGGATACAGAAACTACACACTCAATATATGTGGATTTTATAGGATTATATTTAATAATGCTGTGCCCAGCTCTATAGCTTATTTTCATGTATTGTATATTAAAAATGTGTTTCAAGGTCAATACAGAAAAACTTCACGTTTACACCTATTTCACTGAATCCAATTCAGTGATTTATAGCCATAGCTGTTGTATCCACTGCTAGATTTTTAACCAGTATATATAATCTGTAGTACCATAAATATCCTTGCAGATGCATCGTTATTATATGGAGTTCCACTGTCATAGGATAAGTCAGTCTCAGAAGGAGACTTTGTGGGATAGAGGATATATTTGAATTTTAGTAGGGACTATTAAAGACCTTTTTTAACGCTAGATCCTTAAGTTCTTTTGATTTTGTTGGACTATTGAATAAAAGCTATTTTGAGTACTTCAGGAAATCTTTGATTTTGGTTTGTTCCCACTCTATTCTATGTGGGAGGCAGCACAAGAACTTTAGATCAACAATGTCATTGCCTTTTTGTTACTTTGTATGACCTTGAATATGACCAAGATTTCATTACAAAATTCTGGTCTCTCTAATGCAGTTCTTTGGCTTGTAGTGCTAGGCCCTGAGGGCTGAGGGTGAAGAAGAGAGAGGTGCTAGAGAGAGCTGAAGCCTTATTATGACAGTTGACTCCCCTTACCCTAGCTTTAAGGTAGGGGAAATACTCAGTGTAATTTTACTAAATCTTTCTGATCAATATCCAATCTTGAATATATGCTTTCTGGTAAACTGTTAAAGACAGCTGCTTTCCTCATTCAAGGTCGGATATCCATAGCATAACTTATTTTATTTTCAGCATTATTATTTTGTGGTATTAAGTTATTAATATTGTTCACTCTGTACTCTTATACTAGCCTTTTATTCTTAAAAGAGTCAGAATCAAGGGCTTAGATTGCTACCAAAATGACTTTAAGAACTATAACATACCAAGGTTTCCTAAACATTTTATCTATGTTATGCTTCATAGTTCTGTCCCATCCCCACCATGTTCAGTGGACACAACCTGTCTTATACCAAAAATAAAGAGTTGTAAAGATGTTAATAAAGATGTAGCAGAAAATGTTTTGCAAATAAGTATGAGGAAGTGGTAGCTGAGTAAACCTAGATTTCTTAGCACCTTGATAGCATTTAAGAAAATCTGTTTCAGACTTATTTGGGAGCTGGAAAGATGGCTCAGCAGTTCAAAGACCAAACTACTCTTGTAGGAAATCCAAGTTTGGTCCCTAGCACTGGCTTCTAACTCCAGGTCCAGAAAATCCAATGCTAGCCACTGTACTCACCTGTGTATACCCACGCACAGACAAACACGTAATTAAAAGTGAATCTTTGAAAAATAAAGTGGATTGGAGAGATGGGTCAGGAATTAAAAGCACCTGCAGTAAAAGGCTAATAATACCCCAAGTTCAATTTTGGGAACCCAGATAAAATAGAACCAACTACGTGGCAGTCCTTTGCCTCCACACCTGCACTGTGGCATTCACCACCCAGAATGTGGGAGAGACCCCACAGAAAAAAAATTTTTAAAACAATTTACTTGAGCATCCGTTTTTAGATACAATTACTAGGTAAGACTGCATCTGTATTATTTAGAGACTTATGCCAATGAGTGTGAGACTATTTAGTCAAAGATATAATGATGAGCTAATTGTGGCATAGTATGTTTGCTTCCTTTGAGTTTGTGTGTTTGGATATTTTTAAGTAATTAGACTTTATGCTTGCTTGCTCTTAACATTTTATGAGACTAATTCTTGGATATCCCATAGGTGATCAGTTTTCTCACTCTATTAAATTCCCTATGAATGGAATCTCAGATGGGAAAATCAATTCAGAGGACAATGGAAACCTCCCAGCAGGTTCTAGTAAGCCTGAGGAGTGGCCTGACTGGAGTGAGCCTGAGGAGTCCGAGCACCAAACTGCCAGTGTTCAGATGCGGCTCCACAAGCCTTGTGCGGAGTCCCAGCACAGGAATCTGAAGGCAGAAGAGTGCTGGGATGCCTGTGAGTCTAGCTCTGGTACCCAAGTAGACACAGTGGCTGCCGCCTCTGCTGCCACGTCTGTTACCTCAGGAGAGCAGAAGCCCACTGCAGCACGGCTTCCTCCCACTCAGCACTCTACGCCTTTGAAATGCATCCCTTTCTCAAAGACCAGTCACACACAGCATGGGGACGTTAAACCACCAGAAGTGTCCCAAGAAAGACCCTTTAAAGTTCGGTCAGAACTTGGTTTAGGAGAAGAGTTCACCATACAAGTAAAAAAGAAGCCAGTACAAGATCCTGAGTTGGACTGGTTTGCAGATATGATCCCAGATATTAAACCTTCAGGTACTTTCCTTATTTTGCCTGAACTGAGGACAGAAGTGATGGTCCCTGACAAGGACGACGTCTCCACAGTGATGCAGTTTTCCTCAAAATTTGCTGCAACAGAACTGACTGAGGTGAGTTCATTCTTTGTACTAAATGTGCTAATCAGGGTTTCCCTTGAAGGTCCTAGTTAACAATAAACAAGTATTTTTCTCAATGAAGGTATCATATATAGCTAATTAAAATGATCAAATTAAACCTAGAATCAATAAAACCAGTTCCTATAAATGATTTCTTTTCATGGTTATTGGAAAAAAAAAAAAAACATTGATCCCTCAGGCATGTCCAACCTATTGATATGACAGCTATTGTCATATACAAAGTTTATAGTTCAAAACTGTTTAAATAATCACATTGCCAAACTAAAATCTTGGGGTTGGAGATGGCTCTGTGGTTAACAGTACTGGCTATTCTTCTAAAGGACCCAGGTTTGAGTCCTAGCACCCTTAGAATGCCTCACAACTGTATGTAACTCCAGTTCCAGGAGATTCAGTCGCTCTCTGACCTCTACAGGCACCAGGCACACACGTGGTGCATAAAAATGGATACGCACGAGACACCATACACATCAAATCAAAATAAGTCTTTAAAAGAAACCTCCATTTGTTTTATACCATGTGTAGGGCTGTCCTTGGCCATGCGTAGGTCTACCTCCTGTACAAGTAACTCCTTGACTTAGGAAAGAATCTGACCAGTTTTACTGGACTACACAGTTACTCTCCAATGGATGTGGCATGTAGCATTACAACCAATGCAATCTCACTTTAGCGTTTTTGGTTGGGAGGCATAGGTCTCTTCTGGTATTATAAACAAATGGGTCATTTTTAAATGCTCGGGGTATATAGTTTGTCTCAGATAGTTGGTGTGTTCTGTTGCAGGGAGAGGCAGAAGGCTGGGAAGAAGAAGAGCTGACCTGGGAAGATAACAACTGGTGACAATGAGCGAGAGCTTAAACTTCAGGAAGAATTCTAAAAGAAGTAATACCTCAAAGCAAGCTGCATGGATGTTAAACCCCAAAGCAGCCTGAGTTCCCCAAACCAGAAGCTCTTTTTGCAATCTGTGCCAACTAACTCAAGCATGAGACCAACTTCAGGTTGCTGACTAAGCCGTGCGTGGCAGAAGGCTCTCGGTTCCAGATTCTAGGAAGAGCCTGTGTGCACTTGATCGAGGCCAGTTCCATAAAAAGTAAGTAGCTAAAGTGCTTTTTCCAGGAAAATTCTGGAAATAAAATAAAAAAATTCAAGCCAGTAAGCTTAATTTTGTGCCATTCCTTTAAAAGAGTAAGCTCTACTATGAAAAAAAAAGTCTAGCTGGAAATTCTAACTTCAGACTGCTAAGGTTCCTTAAGCAGCTTATTTATTTGTTTACAGTTTATCATCTGAGTAAAAGAAAGGTCCCTCCTCTGGACCTACCTGGGCAGTTATTGTTTCACGTGTATTACACTATACCAAAGTTCTCAATGAGAAACATCCCCCATCTTGTTCTGTGTCAAATAAAGACTATTTTCACATTTATAAAAGCTTTTATATGTGCAATGAAAATGTACAAACATAATTTACATTCATAATTTCATTTACAAAATATCTAGGCAAGGCGTTGATGGTTGATGAAGAATCAGAGTCCATTCATATGTTACCCTCAGGTATACAGCATTTTAGCTTCTCAATCTTCTCTTTTAGTGCCTCCAGTTCCACTGGCAGCCAGGTTGGAGCAGGGGCCTGTTGGAGTAACCACTCAGTTGTGTCCAAAGCCCCTACTGCTGCTTGAAAGGCTGACCTATACTCTTCTTCAAAGGGGAACTCATGCCGGGCTCTTTTTGTACAAGGCTGAGAAATAAGGAAAGCATAAAAAAAGTAATGCTGTAATGCTCATTCTGAAAACAATTTAAGAGAAATTTGAGAGAATCTGCAGTCATGGGATCCCAAAGTGCCCCTTCCCCATCTCTAATCATATTTCATCCTAATCACAAGTGGCAGCCAAGGAGAACCCTCCTATGCTAGGGTCCCCCACTGACAAATGCTGTCTTGCCCAACAACTATCACTAAGTATTCTTTTAAAACACCATTAAGAGAAATAAAATGTTATTTCCCAAATACTAAGTTTGTAAATGATGAGAACCACAGGCTCAAAACATCTTGCACAGGGAGGGGGAAGAGGGACTGAGACCCATACATATTTAATCATCAGCTTTCCAAAGGGGTGTCACAATTGAAACTCACAGGGCTTATGAGTATAACTGGTTTATATTGAACTTTATATACTTCAGGCTTACAGCTACATCTTAAAAGAAAAAACAAAAATTACTATTGCCTAAAATCCCAAACTATAATTGTACTTAGGTTAAAAACACAATTTTGAATGTACGTAGTAGTGTCCAAGTTCTTCCAATTAATAGGTACATGTGATAATTAGAGAAAAGTGATTGAGGCTGGCTGGATGAGGAGACAAGAGATGAATTAAACATGCTGATTGGTATCTATGGGTCAGAAAATAACATTTATGTCATCATTGATACAATATGTAACTTCTAATAATAAAGAGTATATTTGTTAAAATGTTTTACAACTATTTTTTTGTAGTTCTTGTCTGTTGATAACATTTCAGGAAAGATGTATGGTTTTGTTTTTGATGTGCTTTTGACCATAAAATGGGAATTTTATATGTTTAGACTTTGATATTCAACATGAGGACAAGAATCAAACTAGTTTATCAATAATGAGCAAAGACGTTCCATTGTTACTATTAGCCATACTGAAAAGCAGTCCATACCTGTAAAGCCAACCCATCTGCTTCCTCTATAGTGGGTTCCAAGAAAGCAACTTTCTGTTTCACATGATCCACTCTGGCAACTTCAGTTTCATCTACAAATCCTGTCTGTCAAAGATCATCAAAAATCACTGACAAATTAGCATTCTCTACTAGATACCAAGGGATATGAGATTTAGAAAAGGAAACCAACTAGTTTATGTATGTGTCTGTAAATGATGAGTACTAAACCATTCTGGCTTGACCTGTGACCAGGCAAATTCTAGGTTAGGTAGACTCACCTTTAGTGCAATCTGAATACAATCCCCTTAGAGCAGTGGTTCTCAATCTTTTTAATGCTGCGACCCTGTAATACCTCATGTTGTGGTGACTATTTCACTGCTACTTCGTTGACTGTAATTCTGCTACTGTTATTAGTCATAATATAAATATTAGTCATAATATAAATATCTGACATGCAGGATATGTGATATGTGACCCCATGCTGCAAAGGTTTTGACTATTAGGTTAAGGACCAGAGTGTTCTAAGTGCCTTAGAACATTTTTCACTCCAGAATTAAGTATTATCTCTCCAAGAAAAATAAGTATGTTACACATTCAACTTACTGTACAGGGTGTGGTGCTGGCAAAACAATTACTTACACAGGCACTTAAGCCAGGCAGTGGTGGCGCATGCCTTTAATCCCAGCACTCAGGAGGCAGAGGCAGACCTGGTCTACAAGAGCTAGTTCCAGGACAAGATCCAAAAGCAACAGAGAAACCCTGTCTTGAAAAAAATCAAAAACACAAAACAAAAAAAAACACCACATGTACTTAAAGTTCAGCCCAGATAACAACTGTAGCACATCTATTTATAATGTTTAGTACCAACTCATAAGTAATTTATAAAATACATAGAACCTAGTTAAATATGTGCTAAAGTATAATTTATACTTCCTGGTATTCTAAGTCTGGTTTGACAGGTCTTAATATTTCAATTATTCCCTTACATCGTAACGCCAGAATATATGCTGGATCCCTATACTTAAAATTTTTGACTGTACTGAACAATTGTAGAAACTAACCACTTTAGACACTCTTAATTCCAGCACTTGGGAGGCAGAGACAGGAGGATCTCTGAGAGCAAACTTAGCTAGGGCTACACAGTGAGATCCTATCTACAAAAATAAAGTCTGTCTCTGTATATTAGAAAAACATACTGATATCATACAAACCATAATACTAGGCCTTATAATCATGAATAGCCAATTATGATCAGCAATGTTAGGGATTCACACTTTTTTATCTTAGTGCCAAAGTAATCAATGCTATTATATCTCAAAACTTTTAGGTACATTGACTTAAAGTGATTTACTTCTCTGATGTACGTTCTTTTGTTTGTATTTTCAAGACAGTTTCTCTGTGTAACAGCTCTAGCTGTCCTGGAACTAGCTCTGTAGACCAGGCTGGCCTCCAACTCACAGAGATCTACCTGCCTCTGCCTTCCGAGTGCTAGGATTAAAGGCGTGCGCCACCACTGCCCACCTAATGGACGCTCTTAACTGATTCATACAAGTTGTGTTTCCCTTTACATTTATACAAAATGCTTCAGAATTCTTTCAAACACTCAGATACTATGGGGATAGGCTCCAAGTATGAACATGAAATTCATACCTGAGGTAATTTTATACAATATTTTTGTAAAATAGTAAATATTACTAAAATGAGTAATTTTATGCATGACATACATTTTCACTACAAGGTATATTTTATGTTTTTGCCTCATATTTGGTGGCTCACAAAGTTTTAGATTTTGAAGTACTCTGGACTAGGGATGTTTACTTAGTATTTTGCACAATGCTAATACAGATAGGCTAAGTAGTAAAGCACTTGTCTAGCATATGCAAAGCTCCGGTTCAAACCCCAGCACCAAGAGGAAGCTAAGGTGATTACAAATAGATAATTTTAAAAATGATAAAAAATAAAACATGGGCTTTATACATAAATAAATACCTTCTCCAGAAAGGCTACAACTTTGTTCTTGATATCTTCAGAACTGAGACACTGTGGAACTAGCTCTTCATGATTTGTTACCTATTAAAAGATGAGTAAACAAGACAGACCACGCATAGTTCAGCAACCTAATAAGTTTTTTAACTACCTTACCTGAAAGCTCATTTTAAAAGGAAGTAGTACCCAAGATTCTTAGAGTTCTACAAAGACTTATGTAATTTTGGCTTCTATATATATGGTGCTGCAAGGTTTAATTACTTATTAAACCTAAGGCGTGACTGCACAGAAATGGGTCAGAGCAGTAGCAATTTCAAAGGAGACCTTCCCCCAGTGCTGCTGAAGGCAGTGTCTGAGTCAGGCAGTTGACTCCAAATGTTTAATCCCTGCTAATCAGAGAACCTTGGGAAAAGTCACTTCATTTCTCTAGGCCTTATAATGAGGTTTTGTAAACATACAAATATCTTCTCAGCAGAAAATTTCACAACTGAGATACATAAGTAGCTCAGTATTTTTAAGTGTTTTAGGATATTAAAAGTATTAAATTATGGGAGCATGGGGACCTTGGGAGATGGTTGAAGGGGAGAGGTAGGGAGGGGAGCAGAGAAAAATGTAGAATTCAATTTAAAAAAAAAATCAATAAAAATATTATTTCCTAAATAAAAATTTAAAAAGAAATACTAAAATATACAGAGGTCAATATGATAAACTGCTCTTACCTCAGCAAACTGAGTAAATGCCTCCAAAGTATGTTGCTCTAGCAGCCAATTCCTGTTGGTTAGCAGTAAAGCAAAGATAGAAGGCAGGTTGGGCAGCACCTTGTCCTACAAGGAGAAACAAACCTTACTGTAGAAAAAAACTTCAATACAGAATACTAGTCTACTTTTGGGACACATTATGTTCTTCTATTCCTTGCTCAAATTCTCCTAATAACTCCCAATTTCCTTTAGAGTGAAACCAAGGGTTTACAATGACCTGCAAAGCTTTGTACTTGTCCTCTATACCCTGCTCAGATCATGGCTTTCTCCTTCCCTTTCATATTCATACTCACTTATCACCTAAGTAAGGGCTCCCTCTTCTTACCCCTCTTCTGCTTTATTTTCTCCCATAGCGCTCACCACTCACTACACCACGTGTATCACAACTCTGTTGTCAGCTGCTTCAGAGACTGAGAATGGGGCTACTACACCGCCAGTGGTTAAAGAGTACATGTCTGAAAACATGAAGCCTGGGCTACGTGTTAAGACCTTTCCCAAAAAAAGGATGACAGCTCAAATACAGTTGGTATTTCTGTCAAAAGGAGAAAGGCTGCCACCCTCTATATTTACCTCATGAATCACAAGCTGACATGACAGAAACGGGTGAATTAGTGTCATTTTCTTGTGAATAAGTAAAAGAAATCTTTTTAGAATTCAACTTCATTTCAAGGATTTTTATTCATGTGTACTGAAATACAGCCCATCTTTGACTGTGAAAAGATTTTCACCAGAGAGCTTTTTACATTCTCCCCTTTGAAGGTAAAACAAAGACAAGAATCTAGAAACCCTGAGATTTTATTTTATTTTAAGTTTTTCAAGACAGGGTTTCTCTGTAGCTTTGGAGCCTGTCCTGGCACTAGCTCTTGGTAGACCAGGCTGGCCTCGAACTCACAGAGATCCGCCTGCCTCTGCTTCTGCCTCCCGAGTGCTGGGATTAAAGGCATGCGCCACCACTGCCCGGCTTACCCTGGGATTTTATTATAACAGTAAAACAAAACTCCTGGCTTAAGAGAATCTAATTTTATAGGTGGTCTTAAAATTTGGTGGTAGTCTTCCCCTAGGTCACTAGAATATAATTTTGGAAGCAAAATACACATTTGTCATCTATACATACTTTACAGTATTATTAAAATACTGTCTCTAAAAAATAAATGCTGTTTCATCAATCTACCCACACAATAACTCATTACCAAATTTCCTCACTAGACACTACTGCCTGTAAAACATGAATGACTTCTTCCTTTAGATAATGGCATATAACAGAATCCATCCCAGAGTACAGTAGGCGACTTGATAAATTATTTGAATGCTAACTCATATTTTTAAAAAGAAAATTACTTAAAAAGTACTCTATTTTGACAATGACCCTTCTTATCAGAAAGTATTTCTTTTTCTATAACTTTGCTAGTATAGGCACAAGATTTTAGCAATCAAAAACCTATACCCAGCATGGTTCACATCATAACCCCAGCACTTAAGAACTGCCTCAGGTTCTAAGCCAGGCTAGGCTACAGTATGAGACCCTGTCTCAAAAACAAACAAAAATCAAAAGCTTAAAATTCCCCTAGTCACTAGAGAGTGTTTTTAGATTTTGCATTTTTGTTAAAGTGTGTCTTACCTGGATAGCCGAAGGTATAAAAAGTCTGCTCAGAGAAGATACAAAATCCAGCACTGCCAGACAGACATGGTCGGGAGGCTCCAATTTTAGTAGTGAGGTCAGTAAAGTTACTACCTGAAGAGGTAAGAACAAAAGAGCAGTTGTAAGTAGAGCTGCTTGCTACCAAGGTGTGGTTGTATGGGGAAGGGAAAGAAGACAAAATTGGGAGCAGCTAGTCTGCAAAGCCTCAATTGTGGAAGCAGAGGGAGAGCATCAGATAAAAGAGTTGTTAATATTTCTTCTCACCATAATAGTCTCTTGCCTCCAACTCATGTACTTTGCTAATAAGCAATCAGAATTTTGTGGGAAATAGCCGAGTCAGGAGTCCTGGTGCTGTGGTGAACTCTGCATTCATGTAGTACTTTCAAAGGCACTGTCAGCAGCTAGCTATGGGGTTACAGAACACTGCCTCCATGAACTTAAGGGTGATCCTGTTTCCTTGAAAAAGTAAGACTGTTTTCAAAGACTGATACTGCTGAATTCCTTCTTTGGGCCCCAGCTTACATGACTGGGCATAGGCAAATTTACATTACCATCTGTGTTCCAAAATCTGTGCCAGCTAAGCATTTTACATTTTCAATTCTACTAAAAGAAATTCATTATTTAAAGAAATGATTTGCAAATTTGTTCTATAAAAATTTGGGCTTTAAAAGCGACACATTCTGTGTTGTACATTGTGTTGAATATATGGATAATAATATGTCAAATAACACACAATACTAACATATACTCAACAATCTTTAAAATGAAAAAAGCCATTCATTGCTCTTCGGTTGAAAATAACAAAGTGAATTAAACCAGTGACTTGTTTGGCAGCTCCTAACAATGGAAAGGGGCAAAAGTGAAATCTACAAACTACACAATCCCTATTTGAACACTGCAATTGTACAATTGTAGTCGCTTAAAGCTTTTTAAGACTTAAGTACTTCTTAAAATTGTCATATTTAACTTTTCAACATGAACCTCAGAAATTTCAGTCAGTAAATTCAAACATTACTTCATCCAGTATGTTTTCCCACGTTCTTTATTTGCAATAGTCCACATTACACACACTGTAACTGAATGTAACTAATTAAAGTACTTGTTTACTAAGCCAATTTGTATATACAATTAAACAGAAACAAAGCCTGAAACAAAGCTTTACCACCTACTTTTAGCTCATTTTGTGTTCCATTTCATGATATATGATGACAGGATTCCAGCTCTTCCATACTTTTCCTAAATAACAAGTTATTTCTACTATTTTTTTTTTATGCTTCCTGACCCTGAACTAAAGCTAACAGGATTTGGCAGATCAATTCTGTCCAATATGGACTCATTTCAAAGCTCTCAGTCATTTCAGATAAGAGGAAGGCATTCCCATGTTTTGTTACCTCAGAAGCAGCACCTTAGAGACACTCCAGACAGTAAATCTGCCTATGCCCAGCCAGGTAAGCTGGGGTCCAAAGAAGAAATTCATAGTACCAGTTTTTGAAAGCAATCTCATTTTTTTCAAGGAAACACATGGCAATGTTGCAGTCTCAAAGCTAGCTGTTGGCAGTGAAAGGACAATAAATGCAGAGGTCAGCACACTTGGTTATTTCCTGGGCAGTCTGGCAGGCTGTTTCCTGGATTGTGCCACACAAAATTCTGACTACTAAATAGCAGAGCATAAAGCTTAAAGGTGACTGCGAACTGACAAAGGCTGGGTTAACAGCAAGAACACTAAGAGAAGTGAGAAGGTGACAATCTTGATGAAAACAAGTAAAGCTGACACATTCGGTTTACAAGGAAAGGATCACAAAGGCTGGAGATGGAGCTCAGCTGGTGCAGTGTTTGCCTGGTATGTACAAAGCCCTAGATTCAATTCCCAGCACTGCAAAAAAATCTGATATGGTGCCACATGCTTCTAAAGATAAAGGATGAGAAGTTTAATGGCATCCTCTGCTACAAAATGAGTCTAAGGCCAGTCTGGAAGACAGGTGGAAGGAAGAGGGGAAATGATTAAAGGGCTTACAAGTAAACCAAATAAATCACTGCAGATTCACAATGAGCAAAGAACCAACTGGGTCGCTTTATTACCTGACTTATCAGCTGTGGATCTACAGTTTGGATGAAAAATGTCAGTAGCTGAAGTAAAAGTCTCAATGCTTGTTGAACATAGGGTTGACTTAGTACCTAGAACAAGAAACAAAGTAATTTTGGTGAGAATTTTCAATTACATAATAGAAGAGTTAGTTTTTCATCAACTTGACACATACACAGTTATTTGGGAAGAACCTCAGTTTTTGTCTCTACCACACTACCTGTAGATAGATAAGCTGTAGGGCATTTTCCTGATTATTACTGATAGGGGAGGGCCCAGCTCTCTGTGGGTGGTGTCATCTGGACAGGTGGTCCTGGGTGCTATAACTAGCAAACAATAGGAGCACGTCAGTAAACAATCACTGCTCCAAGGCATCTGCATGAGTTCCTGCCCTGACTCTTCTGGATGGTGGGCTGTAAGATGTAAGACAAAATAACTCCTATCATCCTCAAGTTGCTTTTGGTCATGGTGTTTATCACAGCAGAAAGTCTAACTTAGACACACATGAAAATAGCAGCAATAGTAGTCTACTAAGCATTTATTATATACCAGTTGATATGTGGTTTAGAATTACTACCTCACCTATATACTTACATAAGCTAAGTGGTAGATAATATCCCATTTTAATAAGAAGAAAACATAGGATAAGAAAAATATTTGCTCAAGATCAAGATGGAACTGAGGCACCATCATTCAAATAGATGATTTAAAGGGGTCAAATTACTGTTGTTGGCCACTTAAAAACCTGTATATCCATGGATGTTGGTAAAATTCTACCTCTTCATCGTGTGTATGTCGTACTGCTGTGAAGCCACATCCCAGCACAGGCACCGGAATGACTACTAAGTGCTATGTCCAACTCAGGGCAGCCCACTACTGAAGTGACACAACTGCAGGATGGCCAGGTGACCATAGAAATGGATCATAAACCTGGTCTTTCCGTGGTGGAGCACACAGGAAACCCGAACCCCCAAAATCTATTATCTGCAAAATAATTTCTATTACTTCCCCAAAGTTTTTGTTTTGCTCTCAACTTCCACTGGTTACCAGAGGCACATGCTCAGTTAAAGAAAACATTGTACTTTAAATGTTTAGATCTTTAACATAAGAAACTTAAGTTTACAACCATATGTAGGGAATATGTTCTAGTTTTAGCTTAATAAGCACTTAACTTCCTGGCTCTGTTAGGAAGAGGAATACAAATTAGCTACGACACTTACTAGTCCCTTTCACTAGTAACACACTGTTTTGTCAACCGAATTACTACTAAAAAAAAAAACAAAATCACAAATAGACATCAATCTAACAACAACAAAAAGATGAAACTTAATTTTTAAAAGGATCCAACAAGTTTATAAACACAGATAGATGAACTGTGGTTGCCACTGTGGTAGGGTCTAAGATTACTGGAATAAAATAAACAACAAAAAAACTGCCTGAAAGGGCCTAAGGAGACAGCTCCGTCAGTAAAGTACCTGATGTGTCAAACATGAGGACCTGAGTTCCTGATCCCCAGTTCCCACAAAAAACTGAATGTGGCAGGGCTCATCTGTAATCACAGTGCTTTGGGAGGAACGGGTAACAGACACAGACATATCCCAGGAGCTCTCTGGAGCTCCTGTCTCAAAAAGTAAGGTAAAGTGTAGTCAAGAAAACACCCAAGTCTTCTCTGGTACACACACACCAAAAAACATATGCATACACTCCTTTATCCCCATATGAATATATAACAACGACCTGAAAGAGAATACAATTAGGTGAAATCTAATCACAACTTTTACTTATAACCTCAAGAAATTAGAAAATTTAATCTATAGGGATATTCTAATATTCTCTTGTCAATATTCTATAGTTTTTAAAGAAATGATGAGTAGCTTTCCTTACTTGTTGAATGCTTATAAAAGCCCAAAGCCGACCCACGACTTCAATAACTGTAGTTTGTTGTCTAATATCAAAAGCATCACCAGCAGAATTACATACAGTAAGCAAAGCAGAGAGTGCTGTGTTCTAAAGGGGGAGAAAAGAAGAAAGTTTCAGTTTCCAAATCTAGTTTAAAGGACCAGAGGCCCAATAATAAACACCATGTGAGTTACTTATTAACTGTTCATAAGATCCACAGAGATAAAGCCATTATTCTTTTCAGCTTTTTAAAACATATAAAGTTTTAGTATAATTATAATACTAAGATCAATTTTCCTTGCACATAAAAGCATGTTCTCCTTTTAGATTGAAATGTTCATTTAAAATAGCAACAACATTGACTTTTACTAAGCTTTTGTCCTATTTTTGTTGTTGTTGTCAACTTGATACAAGTGTGAATTATCCGGGAAAAGGAATCCCAATTAAGAAAATGTCTCTATCAGATTACCTGTAAGCAATTGTGTAGGGCATTTTCTTGATTGGCTACTGGTGTGAGAGGGCCCAGTCAACTGGGGGTTATGCCACCCCATGAGCAGGTGGTCTTGACTGTGAATAAGAGCAGGCTGAGTAAGTGATGGGAGTAGGCCAGGAAGTCCTGTTCCTTCAGTTTCTGCCTTGAGTTCTTGCCCTGCTGTCCCTTCATAATGGACTGAGTTGAAATAAACCCTTTCCTCCCCAAGTTGTTGATGGTCATTTTGTTGTCATAGCAATAGAAACCTAACACATGGTGAGCAAGGTTAGCCTAATTTAAAGTACTCATCAATAGAGAGCTACATTATTTTTTTCAACACTGCACCCAGCAATCTGTATAGGTTACTAGATTTTTTTTTTATTATTTCTGTTTTTTACCATGAGATGCTACAGAAACAAATTTTATAAGCAAATGAAATACTTAAGAAATATAGCATCTAGAATTTGAAACAGAAAACAAACTTTTCTAGACTCATTTTTGTTTCTACATACAAATACTCAGATCTCTTTTCTGGCTTATACTAACGTCTGGGATGGTATATATAAGGAAAAGGTCATATTTTAATGTAGTAATCAGTAACACTGACTTGACTCCTATAATTTAATAGCTACAACCCATGTTAAAGTTGCCTTATACCATTTCATTCACGATTAATCTACTTCCTTTACAAGTTTTGCCCATAATTTAAAAGGAGTTAATTTTACAACAGTAGTGTTTTTACCTAATACACCCAAAATATTTTTATTATGTAAGTGTAATACATCTTGAGAGTCTACTGACTATGATGTAGGTGGGTCTTCTATCTATCTGTTGTTTCATTCGTTAATTAATAAAGAAACTGCTTGGCCTGATAGGTCAGAACATAGGTGGGTGGAGTAGACAGAACAGAATGCTGGGAAGAAGGGAAGTGAGGCAGTCGCCATGATTCTCCGACCCGAGGCAGATGTAGGCTAGAATCTTTCCCAGTAAGCCACCACCTCGTGGTTGGTGCTACACATATTACTAGAAATGGATTAATCAAGACATGAGAGTTAGCCAATAAGAGGCTAGAACTAATGGGCCGAGCAGTGTTTAAATGAATACAATTGGTGTGTTATTATTTCGGGTAAAGCTAGCCGGAGGCGGGAAGTGGCCTGCCGCTCCATCACAACATGACTGGGTTTCCTGAGTGATTAGAAACTAGTTCATATTAAATACAAATGAGAAACTTAAATTGACCCACTCATGATTAGCTGTGATAAATAAAGCCACAAAACAAAACTTCTTTGGTTTTATGCAAATGTTTTAAACTATCTTAATAATTGTGGTCAACTGCCATTTTACAAAAGTATAGAAGAACAACTTAGTATGGAAATATATGCCTTCAGCAACTTCTAATCAAAAATTAAAAAGAAAGCTTCCAAGTCCTTGAATATATGCTTTTATCCCTGCTAAGTTTTTTATACTTACCATAACGGTATTTATTATACTGTGCACTGCTTAGCTAGAATATCCATCTACAAGAATAGAAGGGTTTCTTCATTGTTTCCTGTTATATCTATTCCCCCAATGACTAAAACAATTTATTATATAAGAACACTCAAAGTTTATTTATTGAATAAATGAATAATCAAATGAAGACTAAAGTGGAAAATTCAACTGTATATGCTGTGTCTAGTCCACTTTTTATATATCTTCTACTCTTTTTTGTTTTATGAGAAATCAGTTAAAGAGAAAGCTACGTAAAGGCTTAGAGTAGTTTTCTATAAAATGTATGTTGTATTTTGTCAAATAAAACAATCATATCTAAGATGGTCATAATGGTACACACCTGTCATCCAGCACTAAAGAGGCTAAGATCATGAGTTCAAAGCCACCTGGCCTACTCAGTGATGAGATCCTCTCTAAGGGTGAGGGAGTGAATTATATCTGCTTAATCAAGATAGGAATCAAATGCTGTCCTGCTTTCCAAATGTCTCTTACCCAACAGATGAAACCTCCTGCTCAATTTACATTAATCTATAAAATTTTCTCAAAGGTCCTTTTATAATGTATAGATCTAAAAATATTGCTATGTTTTGAAAGAGAGAAGACTAGCGATTACCTAAAACAGTGCTAAGTAAACTGCTGAATTAATCAAAACTATCTCACCAGAGAATCAAGTTCTGCCAGAGTATGACTGCTGCTCAACCAGTCCATGCACTGCACTGTGCATACTCTGATCACGTCGCATGCAGCTTGTTTCCTAAGATCAGCAGATAATGCCTGGAAGGAAATACACTGCCACAGAGGCAAGTTGTCTACTTCTTCTGGAGAAAATCTCTGGATAAATTCCACCTGAAATAAGTTGAGAATGAAATCAGCAACTTCAGATCATTGGATATACAAGAACTGAATAATAACTTAAACACTTATGTCAGGTGTAGTGGTGTATGACACAACTCCAACATTCAGGAGACAGAGTATAGGATCTTTGCAAGTCTGAGGTCGCCCTAGTCTACAAAGTGAATTCCAGGGCAGTCAGGGCCACATACCAAAAGTTTGTCTGAACCAACAAAAAATATTTTAAAATCTGTTTCTTAAATGCACAATAAGATCACTGGGTACCAGATCAACATAACATAAATAAGCACAAAGATTTTTATTGCTACTGTATTTATTTCCAAAATGAAAAATCATGCTTAAATGAAGCATGATATAAAAAACACTAAGTGATAAATAATGCATTTCATTATTATTCACATCAGATATTTTATCTTCTTTCTACTCATTAGATCTGCTATCTTCCAAGTACTCATCACCTTATATAGTTAAGTCAAATTAATATTCCAGATATGGCAAGAATAATCCACCATGTTCCTGGCTTTTATCTTAGCTTACTGCATTTGAGAACATGATATGTTCTGTTTCAAATGGATTAGCTGGCTCTGCTCGGCCTTAGAGGACATACTAAATTAATTTCCCAAAAGGAAGCTATAAAACAAAAAACAACCACAAATAAAGATTGTGATAGGTAAATACAGTCTTCTACTGAGATGGAATCCAAAGCATGTATTGTGTTAAGAGAAATGAGATACTGTTCTTTTAAAATGCAGATGTCAAGAAGATTCAATAAAAATATGAACTAAAAGTTCAAAAGACAGTCCAACTGTTAGATTTTAAAAAATAGTGTATTTAATTGCTAAATTTGTAGAATCTAGTTTAAAAGTATACTAGTATATTTTTAAAGAAATGAGATAGTTCAATTTACAATATTTAAACTTGACAAAATATATGAAAACTTGTCATACATTAAAAACTAAACAAAAATTCCTCCTAAGTCCAAAGCAATACAACTAATTTTGATAGTGCTGGGCTTTTCTATTATATATTTGTATATGAACTCTATTTAATTTGCAGAAAATAAATATCTAACTGACAAAACATGTAGTGGCATTTCATTTATATTTTAATAAATAAAGCTTGCCTGAAGATCAGAAAAGTAAAACAGTCACATTGGTCAGCCTTACAGACCAGGCAGCAATGACACACACCTTTAACCTCAGTAGTCACACTAGCTTGCCATAGAAACCTGGCAGTAGTGACGCACACCCTTTTATCCCAGCACTATAAAACGAGAAAAGACGGCTCTTAGTCTCAGTCTCATTCTGAGGTTTCCTGGAAGCAGGATCACCATTTTCAGACTGAGGTAGAGGTAAAAGCCAGTGGCTGGCTGCTTTGCTTCTCTGGTCTTCAGGTTAAACCCCAATATCTGTCTCTGAGTTTTTATTAACTGTGCATCAAAACAAGCAAGAGACTGGTCACTTGCTGTGACAGAGTCTACAAATAGAAAAAAAGAATACTTCAAGAGCTGAGTATCAAGCCAGGCGGTAGTGGTGCACACCTTTAATCTCAGCACTCGGTAGGCAGAGGCAGTTGGAGCTCTGTGAGTTTGAGGCCAGCCTGGTCTACTGAGTGAGTTCCAGGACAGCCAGGACCGTTTAACAGAGTAACCCTATCTTGAAAATCAAAAAAGAAAAAAAAAAAAAAAAAAAAGAGAGAGCTGAGTGTCATTTATAATAAGCAACTTCAGCAGAAAATTAAAGTGCAACAAGAAAGCCATGATTCGACTGAGAAGCCAATTCAAGAACCATTCTTCCTTATAATAAGGTTAAATGAATCAACATATGTGTCTCCGTTCAAAGAATATATGACATATAATTATGTCCTACACAATAAAAATGTTTTTAAAAGGTGTTACCAAAACTGATCACTTCAGAGTTCAAGACTCTAAGCTAAGGTTCAAACATCACTTTAAAGCTACTAGGGCTAACAGTTCAAACAAGAAGAGTGACATGTAAGAAAACACTGTGCAGAAAATTTAGATTCCTCCTTAAAACTAAGAAGGGCTTAAAATGAAAATGTAGTAAATTTCACCTTACCTAAAAATACTAGTACAATGTGATGGTTACCTTTAATTGCAACTTGACACAATCTAGAATTAGCTGGGCAGAGAGTCTCAATATGCAACTGTTTACACTAGGTTTGCCTGTAGGGGTTACCTTAATTAAGTTATCCAGCCTACTATGGAAGGGAGTCCTGAACTGTGAGAAAAGTGGAAAAATTCAACAAGGCACAAACAAAAGAGCATGGGTACATTCGTTTCTCTCTTCTTGACTGTGGGTGTGATGAATTTCCTGCCTTGACCTCCCTGCAATGATGAACTTTTAAACCTGGAATTTCAACCAAATCAATGTTCTCTTCCTTAAAGTTGCTTTTGGTCGGTGTTTGTTATCACAGCAATAGAAAACTGTAACACACAATTATTAGTATGTCTAAATAAGGGACATTCCTTTTTCCTCAATCAGGAAACAACTAAAGTAAGAGTACTGAGTTATAATACACATTCAACTGTTATTCCTATGGAAAGAGAAACACATCTTAGCATGTGTCAGCTTTCAGTAAAACACATTCATTCTGATGTGTGTTAATGCTGCATCACTAATATAATCAGGATTCAAGCCAAGACCAAAGGCTTTACAGGCAAATTTCTTTCATGTGGATTCCAAGCTCGACTCCTTGTCAGAATCACATTAAGTGCTTAACAACAAAAGCCAATTGCTGAGCCTTATTTACACCCACCACTGCATTTATAGGCCAGAGTCCACAAACTTGTTTTTAAACACAAAGAAAAACCTGCTACAGAAGTTCCAATGATACCCGTCTACAGCTCTTCACAAGGCTACGCAGGCCCATGAGATAAGAAACTCAACCATGGCAAATCTTGTTGACTTCACAGCAGTAAGCAACTGAGGCTAAATACTTGTAATCTTTCCTTAAAAATCAATTTTACTTACTCTGAAAAACTAAGATACATCATCCAAAGCATAATAGAATAAATGGAACAAAGACACAAAGCTATCTCATTGTCCATCTTAAATATATGAAAAGGGAGGGAGTATTCCAGAACAACAGAATCAGATTACATCTGTAACCTGAACTGAAACAGGGACATCAAAATCTACATAGACCTAAAATCAATTACCAAAGCATCAGTGTTAATTTGTGCTCCTCACAGCTGACTAAAGACACTGGCACAGACAATATCCTTGCCTGATGGGGTGGGGCCATGAAGAAAAAGAGACGCTTCAACAGGACTGACAGGTTGGTAAGCTGGATACACTCTCCAGGGCAGGATTTTATCTGGAAAGACAGGAGAGAAAGAAGAGAAGAGTTAAAACAAGAGAGTCGGTTTGTAAGGCACAATTACACCAAAATACTAATGACTCCTTCTGAGAGACTGGACTATAACTAATTTTAAATTTGTTTTTGTTATTTTTAATTCATAGCTATTCTTTAATTTCTTTGCTTCAAAGAAACTTGGTTGCTTTAATAATGAGAAAGGAACTTTTATGTTACACTTAAGGACACAGTAATACAGTAACTATCACTTTAACAATAAGCTAGTATGTTAATGTTATTACTCAAAATAATTTATGTAATTTTAAGGATCTAAGCACATTATATACATTAGTATAGCAAAAGTTGAGTTAGCAATTATAAGGTAATCCTAGCCCTCGGAGGCTGAGGCAAGCACAATTTGAGTTCAAAGCCAGACTAGACTAAGTAAGATATCTCAGTCTAGAGAATAAATAAATACATTACGAGGGCTGGAGAGATGGCACAGCATGAAGAACATGTGGAACTCAGGCTAGGCCACTTACAAACCACCTGTGACTCCAGCTCCCAGGGGTCTGACACTTCTGGCCTCTGTGCACACCTGTATTTACATGACCATACATATAGAGGCACACAGAATCTAAAAAACTAATATCTTTATTACTCAAAAATAATAATTTTAAAAAGTAAGTAACAAAGACTGAAGTTCTGAGACATGTAAAGCATCCCTCTCTTTCGTACAGCATGTGTCAGGCTGTGAGCTACATCCAGAGCTATAAAGTCAGCCATTCAGGTTATGCTACTCATCACTGGAATATAACCATCATTAAAGGTCCATGCAGAAATATATGACTAAGAAGCAAAGGGTAGACGGATTCAGATATGATCATTATCAAAGGCTATGATTAAAAACAGTGACGAGTCATAAGTACTTCATATGGAACACACCTCATAATTAAAATCACCATTAAAGATAAAAAATCGCTAAGTCCATTTATGCTTGTCCTCAGTAAAAACCTCCTTCGTTTTCCTGAGAACAGGATCACAATCACTGAATCCCTTTCACACCATCCTGACTAAACACAGCAACCACAGGAGACCTCAGGTTACAGTGAAGAGGGGGAGATGAGCACTTAGCCATCACCGTCACATTTTCACCTTCACGTTACATTCAATTTTAAACACATTATCAATTGACATAGGCTTTTTTCCCCCTTCTAAAAATGAAAAAATTCTCCACTTTATACAGAGGGATTTTTATTATTTTTTTGTATTCGTATTAGAATTAAATTAGCAATTAATAACAATTAGCATTAAATTTAGCTATTATTTCTCCCATTTTTATTAACATCCAAAAATATCACTCTTTCCAGCACTTTCGAGGCAAAGGCAGGTGAATTTCTGTAAGTTCAAGGCCAGCATGGTCTACAAAGCAAGTTCCAGGAAAGCTTGGGCTATTACACAGAGAAAACCTGTCTCAAAAACAACAAATAACTAAATAAAATCTTATCTCCAAAGAAAACATAGAAAGTAGGTGTTCTAAGTCATTTAATTCTACTTACCAGATGAGCCACTAAGGTGACATGGTGCACACAGAGTTCAGCAGTTCCATATCTAGACATTAAACGAGTTTACAGTTAGGAGAAGAACAAGAACACAGAAAACACCCTGGTGAGAACATGTGAACTATTACAGGTTGAATATCCTTTATCTAAAATGTCTTATATTAAAAGTGTTTCAGATTTTAGAATATTTACATATATGCAATGAGATTTGGGGATGGGCTCAAATCAAAACATTATCTTTTATAATTATATTTATCTTTTATAATTGACTATATACATAACCTAATTTTTATTCAATATTTCTAGTAATCTTGAGCATTAAACTGTTTCAAGGAATGTAACTTTTCACTGTTGGTACCATCAGTGCTCAAAGCTTGGAATTTAAGACATTTTGGATTTCAAATTAGGCATGTTCAAACTGGATACCCATCACCAAGGAACATCATAGTAAACAGATTTGCCTAAACATTCACCTCCTAGTTTAAACATTAAAAAAAGGGCACTTGTTTCCAAACTTAGTATACTGGCATGGAATCTAACCATTAAAAGATTACAGAAGTAGAATTTTTCTATTAACTTAAAACTATGTTGGTCACTACTAACTCAATCCAAACACAGAAAAGGCACTCTTTACCGAGCAAGGAAACACCACACGTCCATCGCTAGCAGCGAGGTGGTCATGTTAGTACTAAGCACTGCATTCAGTAGAGCAGCATCCTAGTGAGAAAACAGAAATGTCAACTTATTCCTTGGCAGATGCTCATGAGATATTAACGTCACATTTCTCACACTAAATCAAAAAGCACTATAAAAATCAAAATAAGAGATCCTCAGCGGGAAACCTCCACAGGCTAGTATCTACAAGAACTATAACGCCATTCCTTTATCTGTGGAGCACCTAACTATATGCTACACATTGTGTTAAGCTGAGGGGGAACAGAAAGCAATCTTACCTATGCTAACTCAGCCTTGTGAGCCACAAAGACCATTCTCTGAAAGCTTTCAAACAATATGACAAGTTTTTCTAAAATATCTTCAACCTTTAAATCTAATTCCATTAAAAATAAAACCACCTAAAAAATACTAATCATTATATATTACTATTCATTTTTTATGAAAGAGTATAGTAGTCTGAACAAAAGATGTTCCCCACAGGCTCAGGTATTGGAACATTTGGACCCAATTCATGACACTGTCAGAAGTGATCAAACTTTCAGGACATGAAGTCTGGAAAAAGTACATCACTGGGAGCAGACACAGAGCGTTTATAGACTTGATTCATTTTCAAAGTGGAGTTTGCTTCCTGTTTATGCTTGAGGTGTGATCTCTCAGCTTCCTATTCTGGTCACCAAATGCTGTGCCTCCTCAATCATTATATGGACTCTCTTTATGGAACGTAAAACCAAAACAAGCTCTCCCTTTTTTAAGTCCTCCTGTTTTTTATCACAGCAATCGAAATGTAACTAGTACATTAGGTAACATCCCCTTCTTGTGTTTCCACTTCTCATAGAATTTTCTTATATCTCCCCACACAAAACACAAAATGTTTTATCAAATGTTTTAGCTAAACAGTACATGTAGTATTATATGATCAAGGACTGCCATTTCTTAAGACACAAATGGAACAAAACAAAATGTTGACTAGGTTGAATTTACCACAGTCAGTAATTCTCATGTTCTTCTACAAAACAAATACAATGCAAAGTGCAAGCCCCACTTTCCAAGTTTGTAGCGCACTTACCAGCTCAGGGAACAGTGAGGGATGAAAAGAAGCAACAAATGCACACAGATGAACACAGACGTGCTGATATATAGTAACAGACGCCTCGGCTTGCCCTTTACCCTCTACTCCCTGTAAACAAGCAGTCAGAGACAGTTCACCAGAACACCTCTCAAAATTGTAGAAAATGGCTTTGAACAGGGACATCCTGCAAGAAAATTAAGAACATTGAGCACAGCATTAATAGAAGTTAACAATTAGCAGGTAAAATAATGTCATAAACAGGGTTAATTTAGAGAATCAAAATGTCAAAAGATAAAAATCTGTAATAATTGGAAATATATATAAATATATAGATATAAAAAATAAAACATTATTTACTGCCAGAAAAAAAAAATCTTTAAGGAATTTCCTGAACAAAGCTTTCTCAAACTGGGCATGTAATTTTAGGACGGAGATGGGAGGACTGTCAAGAGTTCCAAGGCAGTCAGGGCTATACAGCAAGACCCATCTTAAACAAAGAAACAAACTCAATAAAATAAATTTAAAAATCTCTGCCACTTACAATAGTGCCAAGTTATATAAAATCAAACTCAAAGTTTTTTATAAAGCTTAGCTAAATTAAGTATTATTTTAAACATACATGGAAGGATCATTTTAAGATAGAAATAGTTGAAACTTTCATAAAGGTTTCAAGTAAAAAAACTAAAAACAAACAAAAGTCTGTAAGAGACAAAATAAAATGATATAATTAAGTTCATATGTTATGTTACAAATAAAAGAGGGTCTGGATAGGGGAGCAGGGAAGCACATATCTTAGTTAAGGGAGCCACCTTAGGGTTGGCAAGAGACTTGAACCTAGAGGGGCTTCCAGGAGCCCAAGGCGATGTCCCCAGTTAGTCCCTTGGGAAGCTGAGGATAGGGAACCTGAAATGACCCTATCCCATAGCAATACTGACAAATATCTTTCATATCACCATAGAACCTTCATCTGGTGATGGATGGAGATAGAGACAGAGACCCACACTGGAGCACTGGACTGAGCTCCCAAGGTCCCAATGAGGAGCAGATGGAGGGAGAACACGAGCAAGGATGTCAGGACCACGGGGG